GTCTTAGGCCGGCCTACCGCCCACTTCGAGCGCGTGGCAAGATGTGACCGCCCGGCGATCGATATTGCTATGCGCACATCTCGCCACGCGCCCGAATTGGGCGGTAGGCCGGCCTAAGACAACGATTTTTAATAATTAATTACTCGTTAACTATTACGAAAATTGCAAAATGGTACAGGACTTTTCCATTCATCTCGATCCGTTCTACCTTCTCAAAAATTTTGTCGGATATGGAAAGACTCACCCTGTATATATATATATGTATATAAAGGATAAAAGTAACAACTAAAAACTAACTGGTGTATTTCCGACTGATCGATCGCGTTTGCATAATGACACGATTTACCGGATAAATGTCAAACTTCTGCTTCCACTCCGATCTGTTGGCTGGACAGCTGGTGACCTCAATCTCCGCAGTAAACTCCACCTTCGTGCCAACTTTCAGTCCGTCGCATTTCGACGTCTCTTTCAGCGGTCCAGTCAGGCAACTCGAGCTGTACTTGACCTTGATCGCGCTGCTGGCTGTGTCTTTCATCTCGACCGAACTGGAGATAGCGTCGTACTGCTCGCGGATCAGTTCCACGACGTTGCTGGAATCGTCCGAGAGTTTGCCGGCGAAGGAACCTTCCACGTGTTTCATCAGTCTCTTGTAGACGTTGATCTGCTCTTCGGTGACCGCCCATATGACGTTTATCGCGTTCTGCTTCACCTTCAGGTTGATCTGCGAGATGCTCGGATAGTCTTGCAGAGACGAGTGTGTGTACGTACCACCGTTATCCAAGTGGCAGAGGCCGTCATTCGGTTTGATGATACCACCCAGTTTGCCGTCGCCCGCATAGTGGAAACCGGCGTCTGTTGAGAACACCAGCAGTCGGCGCGCCTTCTCGCGCCAACCGATCTGATTCCGGCAAACTATCGCCTGCATGATCGCGTCGAAACCACCCTCTGGCGCGTCCAGATTGCCGGACACCGACGCGTTACGTACTAATCCCTGTAAAAAAAACATTTCTCTAGAAAAATCGACAAGATTTCGATTAGAATGTAGAATCTACTTGAAAGTCCCTCTGAATCTAGACAATTAATCTCGATTTAGAAATGTATCTTCGTTTCAAAATTAATCGGATTTATACTTTATCTGAAACTTGTACACGCGTGTTATTTGTTTATCTATGGATACTTCTGTACCGCAAATTTGCTCGTGTCCTGAGAAAGCCTCATGATGTTCCTGTACCCATAAGGCGCCGCGCAACCATCGCACGGTTCGATAAGACTGAGATTAAAGATAAGAAAATGAGTATTGGTAACAGCACCATCTACTTTCTTCGGGGAGAAGAAATCTTGAGACTCACGATTTTGGCACCGTGTTGACGTACGGCATCACGACTTTGTCGACGAAGCTACCGAAACCCAAACGGAAATTGCTCGTGATTTTGCTCATACTCTCGACCAATAATTGACCCAAGTCGGACAGTTTCTTCTTGTCGTCCTCCATGGACTTGCTCAAGTCCATAAGATAGTAGAGATCGACAGGATAGTCTTCCGCTTGGGAATAAGCGAAGGTCATTTTGTAAGCTTCGTCTGGAACAAATTCACACGTTGAGACAAAATGAGACATTTACAATTGTAACCTTATCCTTGAACAGCAACGACGGCTTTACTTATTCTGAGCTTCAGATTAACTTCTTGCGGCCACATTTGTACGGCTTCTTGCCTTCTGCTTCCACTGCCGCCCCAACTCTCCTTGTGAGAATGCGAAGACGAAGAGTTGGAGAACGAGCTTTCGATGCTACCGTGTGCCCCTCCTCCTATGCCGCCAGCGGCAAAGCCACCCTTCGTTAAGTTTCGGTGTCGCAGCATGCTAAAGACATTGTCCGGGTTCCATGTATAGTCAGCAGGACACGTCGCAAATATTTTGGTATTGATATTCGGGAGGAAGCACCTCTTCTCTGGGAATTTCTGTCAAAGTGAAGCAGCTTTAAAATCCACATCGATCGAATTAACGTCAAGTATTAATGTTGCAATTGTTCTCGTCGATAAAGGAGCTACGTAAAGGAGAGGAAAAAGGGTTTCTGATCAAACTTACCGGTGCTGCGCACCAAGCGCAATGCGGAGTTTGTATGCACTCATGGCACGTCTGTTTACTGATACAAGGATTCATGCCGGTCAGCCTCTCTGGAGGAGGGAGATTTTGTGCAAACGAGACCAACAGGCTCGCCGCTAGCGCTCCCAACACGAGGATCCATCTTGAGCTGCCGAACATTCTGTAAAATCGCAGGTAGGCCGATAAACACCTTTTGATCCAGCGAGGAACACTCGCGTAGACAAATAACAAGAAAAAAGGGATAGAGAGCTAAGGAGTTCTTAAATTAAGAACAGCGAACGCAGCAGTTAAAGCAGAGGAAAGCAGCTGGACAGGCGGAAGGGCCGAGAGAAAAAGGTCTGTGCTAGATAGAAGTGTTTTCAGCGGAACTGTCGGGGTAGCGCGGCTCGGATTACGTACGATTTCGCTCCCATCTCCAGGGAAGCGCCTCACAGCGCGAATCGAGAGGAATCGAGAGGAATCGCGATCGGGCCGAACGATCGACCGGGAACTGTCCAGCCGCGCACCCTCCGTCGCGAACACCGCCGCCTATTCATACGACGGCGATGCCGTCATCTTTATATTTGCGGAGCATCATCACTCCGATGCCCGCGCGTGCGGACGATAAGCGGCGGAGGTGAGGGAGAGAAAGAGAGAGAGAGAGAAGGACACGGGGAAAAAGCGTACTTACTTGTTTGCGCGAGACCAGGTGCCTTTCCTCCTTCGTTTTTCTTTCCTCCCCCGTGTTGTCTTACAGCATCACAGGCGTTGATGTTTGGTTGATGTTTCCCTCGTCCGCCACACTCGGGATCACCATAAATGGCAATCCATCAAACGAACGCACCGACGCGCACGCAACACTCCGTAGGGAGTGTTCGCCTCTCTCGTTTCTCGCCGTCGCCGTCGCGCCCGCTCTTGTCCGCTGCGAGCGCGGCCAAGTTGACGCGCGACGCGGATTGGCCCGTCGCGCGCCGTGCGATCGGCGTCTTCGCTTACGTTGCGAACGCACCCCGAATCTAATTGCCGTATGCCCTTCTTCTTGCTCTTATTATTGGCACTCGGGCTCAACTGGAACTGAACCGACACGGCTCCGTATGCCCTTGGCTGCTTTCGCGAGCGAGAAAGTCAAGGGTACGTTTACGAACAAGCACTCGGAGTTTGGTTTGGCTCGGACATGCGTACGCCTACCAATAATTCATCTATTTCATGTTTTGCCCGAATTGTCTCTTTGTTCCAGTCTACAATAGATGATTTAAGCCCTAAGCTTTAAGAAATTGGCCAATCACGGTCAAGTATGAGTAGAATGCGCGACTGTGATTAGTCAATTTCTTAAGGCTTAGGGCTTAAATCTCTATTGTAGACTAGGACTAATAGCGACCCAGGTAACCAGGTAATAAAATGATCATTTCAATTGCCATCAAGGCATGGGACGTTTTATATCATCATTTTGACTATTCATATGTCCCTCATCACTTTGATTAGGCTGTCTTCACTGGGCTGCTATCTGGGTATAAGACCGACGTTTTGGAGAGTCCGCTCTAATCTGAAAATATTTCTGTTTTAGATGACGACACGACTCCGCTGCTGCGCCCATGTATCGGTATGTACGAATGGCTTGCATCTTAATCGGCTAAGGCCCGGTTTCGCCAACGCTGTTTAACTTTAAGCTTACAATTAGCTTAATTCCTTCTTCGTCTCCTTTCAACTGTTACCCTGGCGAAAGTAATATCTTTATAAGAAGTTTGTTTAAATGTTGAGTCAATGTTTTATTTGAGTTTTTAAACGCCTATTGAATTGTTTGTGAGATATATAAATTTAAACATGGAATTGTTTATAACATGTTGACAGTTACAAATTGCGTTTAATGATACAATGTCGAACGTTTCCCTTATAGTTTTCTAAGGCCCGGTTTCACCAACGCGAGTTAATCTAATCGGTCGGTTAACTTAACAGGGTGCCAACATAAAACTTCTTTATTAACCTATTTTCTTGGTTAATAAAGAAGTTTTATGTTGGCACCCTGTTAAGTTAACCGACCGATTAGATTAACTCGCGTTGGTGAAACCGGGCCTAAGTGTTTGTACAACAAACATCATCTCTCACTTAAAACTTTGGCTAGGGTACATTAGAAATAGACAAATGTGAATGAAACTAAGATTAAAGTTAAACGACGTTTGGTGAAACCGGGCCTGATTCTTGAAAAAATGGTAAGACCTGAGAGGCATTGCCGCGCGAATTTTCATTTAAAATCGCGGAGCGCAGGGTGGCCACTACAAGACGTCGGTAAACGGTCCGCGCGCGGGGTCGATGTCAAATTGGCCGTGTAAACGCACGTTTCATTCGCAACCGTATTCGCAACCGCATCGTGTGTCGCGGCGTGCGCAAAGCCGCGCCCCGTCTTTGTCGCAGGACAGCGTGGAAATTGCATTTGTTTCGGTGAGTCTTTTATCGCTCGTCATTTGCCAATTCTCGCGGACGTTCGAGAGAAGCTGCGCGAGGCACCTCGATCGAAGAGGTTATTTTCCCCGACTAGAGAAAAACATTGCTGCAAGGTTTCCTGCATTTGGCGCTTCAGCTGCTCTTTTGAACGTTACCTGCGCACTTGTGTTGTTTCGTGTCATTCTATTGTGTTGTAAATTATCCTACATTACTCTACATCGGCCCGTGTTACATTATTTCGTATTACAAGCGCTGGATAGCCGAAAGTCTTGCTCCAAAACTCGTCATTTACGTCTAATGAAAGGTTTCAGTAAAGCAGTGATAAATACTGTTGCGTTTTATATTTTTTCGCGTAATATTTCTTATTCTAAATATTCTTCGCGGATTACGGAGCAGCGAGCGAAGAGCGCAAAGTATCACGAGCACCTCCGTCGATAAAGTAGCTACGTTCTACTTATCGTCCGCGCACCGCGTCGCTCCTCGCTTTGCTTCCGATCGCTCCCGCGGCGATGGCGCCACGATGCGCTTTCTGGTTCATTTGCCTGCACGCTCGTTCAACTTCCCCAAAGCTCACCTTCAAAAACGTCAATTTGAACTGTCGCGAGACTCGCGCTCGTCTTTAGTATCTTCGAAAAGAGAATGGCAACTTGGACCTCGCGGGCGATCGCGTGAGTATAATTCACGGCTGCTGTCAATTTCCCGCAAATACCGCACGAAGAGAGCAACCCCCATTTTCGCGTTCGAACGAGTACGATCGTGTATCGCGAGGGTGATATTCGGGCGGGCGGGTCCCCTCGGGGCGTGTAAACAAATGGGATAAATAAACGGCGTACAATTCTGATGATACAGTTTATTATCGTTAGCATTGTTTGCGCGAGGTACAACGAGGTCGATTCGCGCTATTCGTAACGCGACGCGTCTCCCTTCCTCCCCCTCTCTCTCTCTGTCTCTCTCTCTCTCTCGCTCGAGTTGCCGAACGAGTCGGACCGGCAAAGTCGCGAAGGTGCGCTCATTGTCAGTCGACACGCGGAGGCGGGAGAAAAGGAAGCGCCGCCGGGTTACGAATTGAGCGCCAGAGCATCGACTAACTTACAGGCGGGAAGGGGGAGGGAAGGGAGATAATACCGTCAAGCTTTACGAGATATATTCGTTAGCGTTAGTTGCAAATAAATAAGAAGCGGCGCGTCTCTCTCGAAGAAACGGCCCGGCGATTCATAAATAACGACGGGGAACGCGGGGTGCCCTCCTTCGCTATCTCTTCTCCGTCGATCTCTCTCGCGGGACACCACGCGAAATGTACTCCGAAAGTTGCTAAGGTCTGTTCGCGTTGCTCTTGCACTTGTTGCGCGTGGAATCTGCGCTCGCTCTCGCTCTATGTGTATTTATCTCATTTTCAAGTGCAGGAATTTTTGGAGATTCCAAGCAACACGAACAAGCCTATTGACAAACTGTATTAATTTACCACGTAGTGCGATAGTCTCGAGGAAGGACTCGGCACGCGCGTTCCGTCGGCTTAGCTCAACTAAGGAATAAGTAACAATAATGACGATAATGGTAATATAATAGTAATAATAAATATAGGCGAGGCGCCGTGTCGACAGCTTTCGTAGTTTAACTTGGATCGTCTGTTTCGTCCCGACGACGTCCCACTTGGGGTGTCACGTAATCAAACGCAAGTCGTATGTCGCAATCGTGTCTCGTCCCTTCGTTGCCTACTTTTCTCACCAAGTCTTCGCGCGTAGCCCGTTAGTGTCAGATAAAAACGACGCAAGCGAGGATCAGAGGCTTTTCCTCGTAATCTTACTTGTTCCCTTTTTTTCCCCTTCCTCTCTACCCTCGACAGTCCGTCTCCTGTTGCCGCTTATCGTTCGATCTACTAGGCGATCGAGAAAGTGGTGTCGATTAAATAATTGGCGCGCAGTTGATGAAATTCTCCCGCCTCTTTTTCTTTTCTCTCATCGATTGGCGCGTACAAATATCTACATACGTCATTCAGCATAGCAGAAATCTTTATTGTTCTCTCGCAGCGGCTTTCCAACGGCGCGCGACGTCTTTGTCTCTATCAACGGAGAACCGAAGGAGCCCTCCGGACTATTTTTCCTCCGAAATTTACTCGCCAAGTAAATTTCTCACGGAGTAACGCCCGCCATTTTGCGCGAAGCAAGATTCAAGAATTCGAGATACCTTTGTATCAGAGATTTTGGAAATTGATTCTAAATAAAAATCGATCCATTTCCGCTTTCTCTTCGGACAATTGTCTTTATCTTCAGGCGTTACCGGGTGGCATTGCTATGCTGAACAATTTCTACTAACGATAGAGTTTGTGACAGGGAAAAGAGCTCGGGACCAATGGCTAATGTATCTAAAACGTCATTAGGAACATTTCAGTATTCGATAAACACACAAACCATTTACTTTCGGCATAAAGTGCATTTATTTTTGTACCCCAAACTTTCTCAAATCCTTCTGTTACAACAGTATATACTATCTCTCGCCGAAAACTAATAATTGCTTACTTAATCGCCCAATTATTTAATTGACACCATATTTTCAAACGGTCGATATGATACATATTTGCAAAATAAAAGAAGAAACTTCTAATTACTTGTGATTCGCCATCGACGAGGTACTATCGAGTAGATTTCCATTTTAACGTATCGGTCGATCTTAACGGTTATTCGCATAAAACCCGAGCGCTGCTCTTTTCATTTCTACTTTTTTTCCTTCAGTTTTGTAAAGAGAAATAACATAAGTTTCCCTCTCGAAAATCTTGTGCCGTGATATCGAGATATCCTTTTCTCAAATTGAGTTACTCATCTCTTTGACATTGAACCGCGATCTCCAAGTTTATCAGTCACGCGATACATGCTTTTCCGGTCCTTTGGGTTCGCCAGGAATTCCAGACACCCGGTTCACGCCAATCGAAATATAACATGCCTCGAAGGTTAATAAATTATTCGCTTATACTTGGGTGCTTGTTCTCCAATATTTCTCTCAATCCCGTTTAGATTGAAGTCAGCGCGTCGGAAAAGCCCTCGTCCTATTTTTTTCTACCCTTCTTCCTTTTAGAAATGCGGGATGATATTCGATACATAAGAAAGTGAAGCTAATACGGAACCCTATTACATCTTTAATAACCATCGAGCCCTCCAATGTTAATTGTAATCCTGCCGAAGGTCTCCTCTCCGCGCCTCCGCGATGTTTCTGCATTATTACATCGCAATTTACAGGATCGCTCAATGTTTGCTGCAATTTGGAATTGTAATTCGTACCGATCTCGCGTGACAATTTCCCCTCAAGTAATTACCGTTGGTTGACAACGTGTTATATAATAATCGCAACAAAAATCCACCGATATACCGAACGTCGATCGATTTCAATCAATCAGATGTAGTATTCTCCACGTGCGCTTCTCACAAAAGGATAGACGAGTTCAAGTCTTAATCAATTACAATTTTGTTGCGTACGTGAAAAGTAACATGTTACAGTTATTTAAAAAGTAACGAATCGTTACTTTGCAGTTTCTGGCAATGAAAATAAAAATGTCAAATCTGCATTTGAATTGTAAAGCGCCGATGAAGGTGTTTATGCATTAATGTAATGCGAGGTCTAATGCAATCTGTGGAGGTTTAAAATATACGTAAAGTAACTATTCAATTAGTTACTAGTTATCGAAAAAATATAACTGAGTTAAGTTACAGTTACAGATGGAAAGGGAGTAACGAAATAAAGTTAGACTTGCCAACAAAAGTAACTGTAACTGTAACTTCGTTACAAGTAACGAGTCACTTGCCGACCCTGGCTATTTCTCTCTCGTAATTCCTTTCGCGAAGACGCGCGTCGAGAAATACAATTACGGATTGCGATACCGGTGTTATCGATTCACACCGGGAAAATGGTGTACTATGAAAATTTCAGCCCGACGTTTGCCGGACGTCCCGGTTTATGTTAATTCTCTTTAACACCTTGATTCTACACGAATAGAAAGACCGCGACGGTGCCGGTGTACAATGATTCCGTGATCGCACTCAACAGTACCTCGTCGCTGGCTCTTTCGGCATCTCCGGTAGTCTCAGACAGGTCGAGCAGCCCGCGCGGCTCTCGTCCGAGCCAGTCGGACACGGCGTTGCCTTCGCCCGGCGGCCGAGGACAGTTTCGACATTTCCAACGAAACATATTTTGCTGGCCCTTTTTACCTTGTCAAATTTTTTCCCGCACCGGCACAGACGCGATGCCTCGCCGTAATGGGAGGGGAGGGACTGATGAGGATCGACGTTCGTTAATGGAAGCGCTCGTCGGGCGGTCACATTGGCGCATCTCGCGATTCGCGTCATTCACTTTTCGCGCTGTAACTTGCCGCACATAGATCCAACGTGGCGTGTCTGTGTATGTATGCATGTGTGTAATACTGGTGACAATCGTTGTCTCGAAAGGATAGCAAGGAGGAGCGATGACTCTTGTTTCCTTCTTTTACAAACTGACACGGTTCTCTTGTCACTAATTACACATCTCTTTCTCACCTTCTTCGTATTTTCTCGTGCTTTAGAGAGCAACTATTTCAATGTTTTAGTTTACACCGTTGCTATTGAATTTAATATAAACACGTGTCCAGGACATCTACATTTCAGAAACGTCAAACTTTACACTTTCTTCTCTCTCTCTTTCTCTCTTTTTTTTAATGATGTACATTGAAAGAAAGAGACGTGTTGAAACGACTAAAAACCGACCGCTCGTCGTTGCTATTTTCCTCACTTCAATTTTCAATCGACCGTGACAAGCTGTGTTTTGTTAATCTTTTACTTAATGTCTTCTTAAAGCACAATGAGGTGTCCTCTTAGCTCCTCAGCTCCTCGCCGCGCCCGCCGTCCGTTTCGAACTTCTCGCGACTGCCTTTTACGGAGATTTATTTCGATTGCCTCTTACGTCCCATGTTGCAGATCTTGAAGTGGCACAGGGACATGTCTGAAACATGAATCGCGTCCGTTACCGCAGCCGCATCGCGGCGAATGTCGTTACTTTGTGACAACAATCGAGACAGCTTATCGTTTGACAACTGACATTCTTTACGTTAATTGTAAATTCGTGGTTATTCAAATTTTTCAAGTAAATCACTACCGTCCCTCACGAATTTATCAACGTATTTGTGAAAAAGGTTGTCGTCGCGTGTTAAGCAACGAAACTTCTTTTTATCGGACATCACAAGTCTAAATGAAAAGACTATTCCAAACGGCACGAATTATTTCCATTTGTGTATTAAATTCATCATCCGAGTCGAAATTTTGGTACAATTTTGACACTTTTACGGATAATTTACACCTACTTAGCTGATCCATACACCTACATAGGCCAGCAATAACCTACTTTGATGACATATTTTTTACTCCTCCCTTGAATCTTTAATTCTAAAAATTTACTTTATCTCCTACTTAAAAGGACCTACTTTAATGCTAAATTGGCAAAAGTAGAAATTCCCGACACTATCAGCTTTAAAGTAGGAGTAAATTTTGTACTTGCGCCTCTTTTACTGTCTCAGGTTCTACTATATAATAGAATTAAAGGTTCAACATAGGGCCAAAGTTTCGACTGGGGTAAGCAAACAAATTTATTATCAGTCCTCACGAGCTAATTCATTTCCCTCGGAATTTTTTAGGCGGAGTAATTTAACAGAAACGATTAGAGGTTGTGCAGCGAGCTCCACTCGTGTGGAGCCTCGTGATCTAGGAGAGCTGCTGTATTTGTCAAATTTCTCAGATTAATCGGGCCGATCACTCAAATCTCCTTCGCCAAGTCTTTCGCTTCTTACACGTCGCGTACGAACATTTTCGTCGAGAACGAGAGGCGGGTCGTCTCGGCTGCCTCAGTCGCATTTTGTAAAATTAAAACGCGACATCTAATATATATTTAATCAGTAACCAACGTGTTTGCTATTGTCTTTTGAGATTATATTGCTCACCGTGCCACGTGGCACATTGCAGGCGCGACGAATTGGCACTTCGAGGCCGTGGCGAGGAAAATATTTGATCTTAAAATGCTCTCTAAGATTAAAACTAAAAGTAGCGATCGCGCGCCTACTTGTTTCAAACGGAGGGACTAGGAACGACACGAATGATCATCACGTGTATTAAATATATTAATATTTTTGGACTTCACATTTCAATAAACACTTTTAGACGTCACGAAGTATCTCTGCGGCACATGAGAAGACAATAAGAAATTGGATTCGTATTTAAAGAATGGATGTCATTGTCAAATACCGCTCGTTACCTAGTCAAATGAAAAGTCGACGATCGACGATCTCTCCCTTTCGAGCTCGAATCGAGGAATCAATTTCGAAGAATCAATCAAGGGAGATACGCGCGAGAAAGAGAGAGAGAGGGGGGGGGGGTGAAAGACACACAATGCGTCACGCGCCAATTGCTCCAATCAATTGTCATCGAACACTTCGGTCGATCGAACGCGGCGCAGATCGCACGTGTATGCAATACGCGCGTTCATCTCGCTGGGAAAACTTGATTCGTGCAGAATTTGCAGTAGCCGAGAAAGGCGCTCTCCGATTTCCTCAAGTTTTCCCCCGAACGCCCGTCTCGAGATAAAGAGGAACACATTCCCGACCGCCTTCCCGAAAAATAAAAAAGGATTCTCCGCGAGATTTCCCGGAACGTGCGTGGCATAATCCACCGATCCTCGGGATCGAGTTGACTAATCCCGGGAGGAACGATAACGGCCCGGACTCCAGATCCGAGTCGTCCCACGTGACAACGGAAATCCGCGGGAAATACGCCGAGATGATTCCGAATGTCCCAAACGTATCTCCTTAAGAGATATCACACCGGTACATCGCAACGAGCAACGTTACGCTCTTTCGCGTCAAATTTTTCTCTCGACTCGCTCTACCCTCGTATTTCACTTCTTTTATCCCTGCTCATTTCGCGCTACGTTACTCTCTCACTCTCTCTTTCTCTTCATTTCTTCTTAATTTCATTACCATAAAACTCCATAAAACTGTTTGCAAGCTGTTGATTTAAGCTGATCTATTCTTTTTATCCGCTCATCGATCGATTGTACCGTGTCACTTATCGTTTCTCCTTTTGGAAAGGAGATCGCTATCGCAGACAGATCTCGCTCCACTCTCTTTCACGCTGGAGACCCCGTAATCAGAGACTGACCATAAGAGTTCGTCAAATTCTTGCGAGTGAGACAGCCTACGTTTCTCTCTCACTCGCAGGAATTTGACGAACTCTTATGGTCGGTCTCTGATTACGGGGTCACCATTTTCACGCGGGGCTGCATCTCCCGTTTGCAGCGACGGAGAACGAAAAGGCGGAGGATACTCACAGCTAACCGCGTTCACGCCGTGTCGTTTGCCCGGGTGCTGCTGATCGTGGATCATGGCCGCGGGCACCGGCAGCGCTTCCGCTTCCGGTTCCCCGGCAGAGTAGTCCGGCGGCGGTTGTTCCGCGGACATCGCGCGCTCCCGCTCCCGCGCCTTCGCCTCCAGGATCGCCTGGATCTCGATTTGCTCGTCGGTGATCTCGTGCTCCTGCTCGACCACCCGGTGCTTCTGCTCCATCAACTGCTTCAGGCGGTTCACCAGCATCTGCACACGACCGAAATAAGAGTCGAGAGATAGTCGAGGTTTAAAAATTCATTTAATTAACAATACGATTTTTCTTTCTGAAATTTATACGCTTTAATCTTTTCTCTCCGTAGCGTATTCCCTTGTGTGTCCCGAGCCACCTGTTTAATTTCGCCGCGTTTACTTTCCGATGCTGCGAACGAGGGGTAAATTAGTAACTTAAGAGTTGTCTTAAGACGCTAATACGGCTTTGTGATTGGTTGAAAACACATTAAGAGTATACTTAAGCTGATCTGAAATATAAGAACGGACTATGGACAATTTAAAATCTAGAATCGTCTTTTGTCGAATATCGTGGTGGCAACTTCGTTGTAAGATGGAGGGAAAATTTATTCTAAACGCAAGAATATATAAACAATTATATAAATTACTCTTGTCTCGATATAGCGAGTCAACCTTTTTTAATTCGATAGAGGAGAATAAGAATTATTGCTTTAATTTTGATATCGTCTTATTCTTATACCAAATGAGGTCGCGAGAAATATAAATGCGCGAAGAATATTCTTTTGTCTCGGTAACAGAAATCCTTTCCGAGGGTGCGCGCGATCGCCCTGTACTCACGATATTCTCCGCCTCGTCCGCCTCGCCGAAGAAGACGCCCGGCGGCAGCGGTTCCGGTTGCGGGAGCGCGTAGGCCCTGCCGGTGCCGCTTCTGGCACAGGACAGCACGAATGCCGCCAGCAGACACAAGCTTGTCCTAGCGGCGGCTCGTCGGCTACCCCTTTCCGTCATTCCCTCGTATCTCGTGCTCTCTGCGAAAACGAGAAGAAAGGCGCGCTGCAGAAGATACCGACAATACAGACAGCTAACATAGATATCGTAATACAGGATTACTGTTGCTAGAGTTACGATCGCGTGATCAGAACTGCTAGAGAATTCATTCGGGGGTGAAAGCTTTGATGATTTTGGAGATAAGAATTTCAATTGGCGGGTTGAGAGCGAAAAATGTCCTCGCCACTGTAAAAACAGGGGAGTATATTTCGGAAACGAATTATTTCCGTTCTCCAAATTGAACAGTTCTTCTTCCCGAAGTTTCGTTTCTGTTCTTACTACGATGAGGCGCGGTGCGGACTTTTGCGGGAGGATCGACAAGATTTCCTCCTTTACGGACGCATCTGCCGCGCTTTCTCTACATTCTTTCTTTCCCGATGTTCCATCTCACTTTCCGCGGACACGTTCGGCAGCTCCGACGTTTCGAACGTACTTCGAAATATCGGAATCCTCGCGGAATCGCAATGGGAAAATTGGTCCGCGTTAATTGTACGAGGCGGTCGTGATAACCGGAAGGAAAGAAAATATCCTGCCGAGATCGGGAAAGAGCTCCCTCCCTTTTCGGGCAAATTTCGTGCCGACAATCGCTTCGGGAAGGCGAACTTTTCTGCAAAGAGAAAAATATATAACAAAACGGGGGGAGGGGAAGGACACGTGAGGGAACGCGAGCGAACGCAACCGGAAGGAACACACGTATATGTGCGTCGCAGTCGCGTTGGTATATCGCGAGTGGCAAAGATTGAGAGAACGGGGAGAAAAGACAGAGCCGTGGCGATTGTATTATGTATATCGTGACGTTCCTCTCGTCACCGCGACCGAGAGATAAAAAGTTCTCGCGGGTCATCCCTGCGTTCGCGCTACGTGCGCAGGGAGGGGGACCAAAGATGCGGGGGAGGAAAGGGCAGGGCTGAAGAGGCTGGTTTCGCGCTGGTCTAATTGATTTTTTTGCCCCGTCATGGATGGGGCACCGAATCTCGAGGACAGGCGGGAACGGACGGGGCGATTTGTACGATCCGCGAGCGAGGGTCTCCCGGGGTCATCGCGGATTATCCTTTTGACCGATACGGCGTTATCGCGTGACGGGCCGCGTGTCACGTGATAACGGGGCAAGATCGAGCGCGAGGGAGCGGGACCGCGGCTAAACTATCGGGCACGAAACTGCGCGATATCGCGCGTCACGTACAATGACGATAGTGGAAAACGATAGTGACAGATGCGCGAATACGTCGCGCGTCACGATAATAACAACACTAACGAGGAAAATAATAATAAATGCCAGAAATCGGCGGCCGGCGGGGCGATTGCCGTTCGGTGAGAGAAACGCGGCGCGCCGCGTTTAACGATTATTTATAGATTCTAAATCGATTTCGCTATTATTCGCCGGCCGCGAGAACAAGCGCACCGCGATCCTCGCAACTCTGTCGCAAACAAAACGATTAGAAACCAATTCTCTCTCTCGCGCGCGCGCGCGGATTCGTTCGCGATCGACGCAGAAGTTGGCCGCTGGCGATCCGACGGTTTGTCAGGAATTTGTGCGGCGGAGGCGATCGACCAATTTTCTAGCTCGACCGAACGAAGGAGAAGATTTCGTTTGTTGGAATTTAACCAAAAAAAAAAAGAAAAAGATCGGTAGAAACGGACCCACCTAACAATGAAATATGTTGAGGAATTAAGCGGAAATGAAACCCGTTTGAACGCCATGGCGATCGCAACTTACTCTGGTCGAACTTCGCCGAGAACTCGCGCTCTATCTCGCCAACGGTACGACACGCGGTGGTAGAATGAGCGGCGAAGGGCTGTTGCACCCTCTATTATACCCGCGCGCAGGTATCCTCCTCCGCACTCGTGTCTGCCCTCCACCACCCGAACACGCCTCGCCTAACCGCCCTGTTATAATAAGTACCCGACGTGGGAAAAGAAGAAGGGTTGCTCGATCCCCTACCTCTCGCCTTCATTTTCTTCTCGGAAACGAGTGACGCCTACCCCGTGCACGGTTTCTTTTTACACGCTTCTCCTTGACCGCGCCGTTTAAGCCACCATTCTTGGATTCCGATTTGGAGAATTGAATCAGAGAGACTTTCCCTTCGTCGAAGCGCGTTCGTAACTTACGCGATCCTACTTCCCAGTGAGAAATGATTCGTCGATCGATGACGAAACGATGCCGAATCGACATCGTTTCGACACTGATCGACGAATCGTTTCTCACTAAGTTCGGACGAATTGTCGATAGAGAAAGTCACCGCTCGGTTTTTTCAATATATATTTATTAGAAAAGATTGCACGTTTCGACTCAATCATCTTCAATAATAACAATTTAATAAGAAAAAGGAATAAGAAAGTCCAGATTAAAAGGTAATAAAGACGGAGAGTACGATATATAAATAAAAATGACTATCACGATGATTAAATTCATATTAAAGCCGATTAGAAATTGCAACAACACAACTTGATCTGTTTGATGGGAGACTATGACAAAGGTCGAGCCATATGTCAGAGCGGATAAAATAAATATCGATCGTAAGTTAAAATGTTCACAAATATGTTCAGTCGATGAACTAAAACGATGTTGAAAGATCATTCGTTGCTTGAAGGCGCGAAGTTTTGTCCATTCGTCCATTCGTCAAGTTGAGTTGTCCAACAAAATTGAAAACTCATAGTCAGTAAATTACGAATTTCAGCGTGTCAACATATAAATCAATCCGTTAATGGTTTTTGTGTTTGTGAATGTTTAGCATCGGCAACGGGGACGAAAATTTCATTGAAATGGGCACCGGCTCGTTGGCGATAAAGTGGAATACTTTATTCTCGATATTCAAAGATGTCTAATAAATAAAAATGTAAAAATTGAGAACATAATTAGAGAGAGTCGTAAAAACAAAAGCAACTTTCGGTATAAATAATTTGTCTGCATTTCGCAAGTGGAGTCACGTTTCTTCTTTCGACAATTTCTGGATTCCTCTCTAGATTATTTCACGTATGAAAAAAAGGTACAATAAATACCTCACGAATGAAGAGAAGACTTTGCATTTCATATTTTCCGTCCGAATGTATCGAGATAATATTTCATACAAAGTCTTTTTCAGATGATCTTTCTTTAACGATTTTGTATGCAGAAGGAGTAGAATCTTTTTAGATAATCTCCCTTTAACAGTTTCGTATGCAAAATGAGTACCATCTTTTTAGATGATCTTTTCTTAACGGTTTCGTATGCGGAATGAGTACAAGGGTCGATTTTTAAAAAAATCATACGGATCTAAGGACGCAAGAGTGTCAGCGAATTATCTGTGTTATCAAAATGGAAAATTGCTTTTATCTTTGATAACATTTGGTTTCGTTTTACGTTGAACACTTTTTATTCCTGTTTCAGTCAGTACATAAACTATTGAGGCCCGGTTTCACCAACGTCGCTTAACTTTAAGCTTAGTTCAATTCGTCCTATGTCTCTCTCCAACTGCTACTTTAGAGAGAGACAAACATAAATTAAACTAAGATTAACGTTAAACGACGTAAACCGGGCGTAAACCTCGGAGTTCTTTTCGTTAAAGCGTGCAATCAAGAATTTTTATGTTACAAAAGTCGATTGTCGGCTCGAAGCGCCACGATTGCTTGCTGATGAAAATCAAACTTGTTACTACGATACGATTGACTCATCCTCCGCGGAATAAAAAGTAGACATGCCCCTCATATTTGCTTATTGTTCCGCCGAAGATTGTTTGAGTTCGTTTCGAATATTCCCCGCTTGCAGGGTGCCGCGCGATTTAATTGCGACCGAATTATTAGTTTAAACCAATTTTTTTTGTCAGTGCACGACGGTGACGCGGAAAACGACGCGCATTATAGGGCCGTCGATAGTCTCGACGCGTAATGAAAACAAGACAACGTCAGGCGGGCAAATAGCTCGTCTCCGACGCGCACATTCTTCTCCTGAGATCTGTTGGGAAATTTCGGCATTCTAGGTGTGGGAGGAAGGCGTGGAGGGGTTGCGTTTCTGGATCACGCGGATTGCGCTGCGACGGCGTGGATCGCGAGAAAACGCGCGCACGTCCCCCGCTCATAAATCGTGCGTTGATGAGCGAATGTTTATAATTAGACATTTAGCAATGTTCGGTCCTACGTCGCTGGCCGATGGTGACAGTAAGAGATTGCCTCTTATCGCGACATGAGGGGAGGGGGGAGAGGGGAGGTTGTCCACGCGTGACGCGAAGGGGGAGATTATTATCGAGATTTCGATGCAAAGAGATTCCTCTCTCTGCCCTCCTCCTCTTCCTTCTCCTTCTCGCCTCCCTTTCCTCTCCTCCTCTTCCCGCGAAATCCAACGGCTGACGAAATTATGAAGTCCGTGAGTAAATAAATCCGAACATCCTCGATCTCGATCGACCTCGATGATCGGGACCGCTCCATATCCGTTGGCAGATAAGACGCAGCGGGATCGTCCCACTCGATCTTCGTTTCTCACCAGCGAAAGGCAGAGAGAGAGAGGGAGAGGGGGAGAGAGAGAGAGAGCTATTTAAAGCGTTTCCATGCTATTACAAGGATTATATTGTACTCAAATCTCTCACTAATAAGAGCTTAACAGCAGATCATCGATGTACGCATAGGCCTCCCAACGATTGCGAACTGCGTGCAGCAGCTTTGTCTATGCAATTCGACATTTCGCGTTCCATGTGTCGACACCGACGCGTTTCTAACGAATTCAATCCGTTCGGCACAAGACAAGGGGTGTGTTCCCATTTTATCTCGGTACTACTGACAGTACTTCCAATACACAGTAAAAAATATAGCGCGCATACTTCCCGTAATAAGACTGAAGTAATAGCTGTTGGAACAACAGCGAGTTGAAACGTTGATACACATTTGCGCCCAAATTTGGAACAACAAACAGTAAATACAAGTACAACATTATTTTTCGTTAAGACCACGGTTAGACTAGTGAGAAAAGTGGCAAGTATGGAAACACGTGACCGAATACTGCAATCTTAACTGAAATTACCTCTACAAGCAAATACTTGGTAAAAGAAGAAAAATATATTTTGAGGAAATCTAATAGCTCTTTGAGGTTTAACAACGTTACATATTTTTAAACGTGCATGTAAGAAAATGATTTGCAATTAGATGAGATAGTTTGTAATCAGATCAAATTGTATGAGATCAAATGAAATCGTGTAATCGGTGGGACAACATTTGAGCTACTGGTTACCGCCTTGAGGAAATGGGAACGCACCCAAGATGAAGAACGTCGAAGGACCTCATCCTCTCGCGATAAAAAGTCGACATTTCAATTGTAGAGTTTCAAGTGAATTGTATTTCGAGGGAAACTAATTGTTCCTCGCGCTGCATCGATTTTTTTTTACATCGGTTTTGAACAAAGATTCTTAAATGCAAACTGGATCGTCGTGTATATCCACGTGTATCAACGGAGAATTCCGCGCCGTGCGCCCGTTCGAGGTTAATTACCTAATACCCATTGCACGTCATTTGCGAGTGTGTGGCGTGGCGGCTTGCGCAACTACACGCTCGCTTTGTCCTCTCCACCTTTGCGAAGGAGCCGCTTAACTTATACGCGAAATTAATGCAAAGCCAGCTAGGGCGTAGTGTATCCGCTATGGATCCGTAATTGATCCCTGCCTCCCCGGTTACGTGCATTCGAATGTTGTAACGCTCAAAACAGAGGGAGAGACGAGGAAAGAGGCAGGACGAGAGAGAGAGAGGGAGAGGGGGGGGAGGGGGAGAGAGAGAGGGAGAGAGAGAGAGAGAGGAGAACCACGCGTGGAAACCTTGCCAGAACGCTCGCGAGATATCTGATACGACATACATGTATATATATATGATAATTTACACGTAGGGTGTTCTGTAATTGGCGGTGTAGGAGAAACGATTCTCTATGAGAAAACGAGGGGAAAACGTGCGACTTTGTTCTCGAGCAGATTAATTTGAAAATTGATAACACCCTCCCTGCCGGAAATAATTCTACAAAATTCTACAAAAAAATTAAGTATAACTGTCAGAATCTAAGAAATTCTACGTAAATTTAAAAAGTGTTATAAAAATCAACATGAAAATGCTAGAGTTGGAACACTTTTGTTAATTCTTGTAATATTCTACAAGTAAGCAGATGTTTTAATTGTTTAGGATTTTGTTGTTTCTTAAATTTTTAAAACTAGTAAAGTTTTGTACTAATTTTTACAAAATTGTACATTTTCATGAAATACTACTTGCAATCATTTCTTGATTTGAGAACGTTGTAATTTGTGGTACTACTTTGTAGATATTTTTACAAAAAAAATGTTTCAACGAAGATATAAAAATTTCTACAAATTTCTATTTCAAGTCAATTTTTTGTAGTTATTTATAGAAATTTTTCCGCTAGGGCTGTTCTAATTTGATGTACTTTTCTTTATACGTTAATAAGTAAATGAATAGCACGAGTTATATCGACTGAATGATGCTCGAGTAGACTAACACGTCGTTCATCCAGTGAAATTCAATGCTATTCGAACGAATAAATTTTATTTCGCGCAATTTCTCTTTAAAAGGGTTATTTTTTCATTCAGGAATAGAGTTTTCTTCATCCGTCACTCGTAACCCCTAAATTCGCCCAACGGTGCCAGAACGTCATGTCGAGTGACGAAGAAGATCAACAGCAACAACAGGAGGAAGAAGAGAAACCGTTCGCCGTGGAACGCGCGAAAACTGGCCGCGCGAAATGCAAGAGGTGCAAATGCCCGCTCGAGAAGGGCGAGATACGGATCGCCAAGTACGTGACGAGCTTCTTCTCGGACGGCAAACAGATGCCGGCCTGGCACCACGTCACCTGTCTGTTCGACGCGTTTGCGAAACAACGTGCCACCACCAAAAGGATCGACGATCCCGCGGAGGATGTGAAGGGTTGGGAGCAATTGTCCGACGACGACAAGAAGATCATCTTGGACAAGTTGGAGGCATTCGAAAAATCTTGTAAGTATACCGTAATGGGAGAAAATCACTTTTTTTCGTGCGATTTATTTATGTCTATCCAGTGGCGAGCAGTTCCAGCCGCAATAGAAAACTTTCGAGAATTATTCAGCAACAAATGTTTTGAATTTAAAATCGATTTTCTATTAAGGAAAATTGGCTGGAGGACATTATTCAGATAAGGTTATCCATTTGATTTTGTAAAGTATATGTTTATGAAAAATCCCTTTTTACCAATCGCATAGATTCATAATCGTTGCATGGTTTGTTAAGAAAGAATCAATTTTTAATTGACCAACGATTATGTACACGGAGAGAATTTTGTTGTTAAAAGTTAACCTGAATATCACGTAATCGTGGGACAACACGGCATTTCGAAGAATTTTATGAGTTTTGTGAAATTTTACTAATAAAATGCCACGTTGTCCCACGATTACATGATGTTCAGGGTAAATGTTAAAAGAAAATTCTCTCCTGTACCATTAAAAAAACATATGGCCTCTTTGGGAGATTCTACGAGTCTAAGACCTAAAGCTTCATTAACTTATTTGTAGAGACCCGTCACTGCGTCTTTCCGATTTCTCGAAGTGACTATTAACGTTCGCACCTATCGCGTCGTCGCATTATCCCGAAGCGTAGTCGTCCGATGTTACACGGAGAGATCATTCAAAGGCTTTCCGGCTTTTCTCTTTGAAACTTGCGCGACTTCTAATAGGTTTCCTCCCTTACGATTGGAGCTTTGCAACAGAAAGTTCCAAAGAAGCTCGACGCTTATGAGAGAGATTACTATTCTCAAGGGTGGAAAAGTTCATCGATATCGAGATAACATCACAATGTCTTATATCGCGCTATTTCTACTGCGTAATTGCATTCTGTAATTAGAAACTGTCTTGCGGAGGTGGGTACTCTCGACGGGTACTCCTGCATGAACGTGTAGGAAGGAGATTTCGTCGAGAAATTTCTTCCTAATCCACCGATGGCTATCTTCGAGATAAACATTTCATTGGCATTTTATTAATTTTATAACGATTAATATGAAAAGAAGAACAAATAGAATCCTTAGAAACACAAAAATGTATTAAATTTTTTCAAAATTTGAATTCCAAAAATATATACGTATCAAAATTTTATGAAAAAGAAACTAAAATCGTGCCGGAAATTAAAAAATAATGAGCAGAATTAGGATTAATAATCGAAAGCAGTTATGACTTGAAAATTTCTTCATGTTGAAATTATTAAAGTAAAATTATTGATTACGCCGCATTATAATAAATTAATAGCCTTTAATTTCTGCTTCTAGTGCCGGCTAAGGGTTCGAAGAAAACCGCATCGTCGCGCAAAGCGGCTGTTTCTTCTAGTAACTCTTCGGGGAAGACAGTGAAGAAGAATACAGATCAGAAGAAGGTCGCAACAGACGATAAAGAGAAAGATAAGGAGGGAAAGAGCAAAGTCCCGTCGAAGGATGATTCCTTTCGCGAATTTCGACGCATATGCAGCAAGGTCGCCGACGTCGACGCCTACACCGACAAGACTGCGATTATTAAGAGGATGTTCACAGCAGGATCACTCGGAGGTGAGTACCTGTACCTGTGTTTTTCTCTTTATGCTAACGAGATCAAAAAGGTATACATATACGATATCTCGTATAAACGTGTCAAACGATCGAACGAACGATTGCCAAAATAAGGATACGTTTTCGATGAGAGAGAAATTGTATATAGTTGATGTGTTAGTATCATTATATTATTTATATATTAGATAACTGACGTTATCTAATTACATGCAATGAACATTATCAAGTTCTCGGATACGAAAAAAGATCAGATGATCCGCTAGTAAAAATTAAAGCTGATGCGAGAGTTTGAGTTAAATTCTTTTTGGACGAGTTGCCAGACTTTAAATATAAAAAATTTTACAAGATTTCCTAAATATTCTAGATGGTATTATAGATTCTGAATTCCAAGTTTCACTTTAAGTTTCGTTTTACCGTTGCGCGAAGAATTCTTCGCCCTTCGATTATACCAGGAGTAACTTATGTAGGAACGCTCGATAGACATTTGTTCGGGAATTGATAGATCAATAATATATTGTACCGATCGATAGCCCGTGTGAAAAGAACGCCCGAGGACAGACGGCGAGGTACATTTTAATCGAGTTCATCTGCATGCATTATTCGGCACATACGATAATGAGGTTGCGATAAGAACTTTCGAGATCAGAGATGTTTCGGTGACCTCGATAAGCCGACATGCAGTAGACTGCAAATTAGTAAATCTCATCTCTAGCGTTTCTCGAAACTTCGGCCTCGCCTTTTTTGTAAAATCGCAATCGGTCCTTTCTCGCGCGAAGTAATTCCGAGAGGAGACTCGCGCTTATTGTCGCCTATTGTACTCCTTTCTTAATACAGAGAGGAAAATACATCCGAGCCCGAATGGTTGAGTGCCTTATTAATCAGGATCCCTTTAATGTTTTCATAAAAGTGACGCGGGGGTGTTCATTAATCATTTCTTGTGCCGCGCGTTCGCACATTAAAGACGGATCTTTCTGTAGAGAGGAACATTTCCGATGAATTTATCCTTCCATTGTGGTGCGATGGATCAAGTTGTAGCGGATAAATACAATTTCTACGCAGTTTTTCCCGAACTGATTTCAATACACGAAAATAAAGGATTGCTACAGGCTTATCGCTGCGGAATAATTTTACACGCAAATAAAGAATGTATCGCTGCAAAATATGGTTGCATCAGTACATTGTTTTTATCCGCGCTGATATACGCGATAGGCCAATCTGAACAAAGTGCTATGATTTTCTCAGGCTATTAGGAACAACTCAAATTCTCTTTTGGTTTTTCAACGTTCGTTCGGATCTTTTTTTGAATATTGCTCCCGGTCCTTTTAATCCTCTTTCTTCTTTAAATGAAACTATATGGTTTTTTTGTACACAAGTCCTCTCGCTATTCTGCATACCAAACTATTAAGATGAAGTTATCGAAAAGTTATTAAGTCATTTTGATACTTTGAGAGACGTTTGACATTTCTTCTAACATATTCTGACAAAAAAAACATACATATAAAATGTCTCGTGGAAAGTTTAGTCTTACGCGGATAAAAGAAGAAAAAAGAATTTCGGCGCTTTGATGTGAACAATAAAAATTCGAAGAGATCAAAATATTAAGTTCGATGCTTCCCCTTCACGAAATTTGGTAATAACTTCTTCGTCACTTGAATCGCAAGTTTTACGTAAACTGTACACGGAGATGCAAATTCCCCAAGTCTCCGTGAATGAAAAATTGTATATCTGCAGTGCGGCGCTAGACGGAGGGACTACTCTGCTGGCCCGTGCTTACTTATCGCGACTTATCGTGAGATATATAGCTTGTGATTTCGACCGGAAATGCGAGTTTACAGTTAGAGTGCGATCCGATAGCGGTATCGGATTTATTTTTGGGCAAAAAAACGCGGATTTCTTTCGAAATCGACGCACGATAGCGCCCTTCCTCAATCAGGTTACTCGTTACGAAACAAAAGCAGCTCGCCGCTTGCTCGTCTTGCAGTCTGACGAAAGTGGTTCCATCGTTTAGGCAACCAATCCGAGTCTCCATCGTAAAATGTTAAAGATACATTTCGTAAATAGGAACAACGAAGACCCCGGGAGGTCTTCGATATTTTTATATAGGTTTTTCTAGTTTCTTTTGCAACGTCGAGTTCTCCTGTTGAACGGACAAAATGGAGGAAATAGTGACAGTGAGTGATACAAGTACTTTGTATCGCAATTTAGTTTTAATTTGCAATTTCAGTTATAAGTAAAATTGTACGTTACGAAGTCATCTGTCGCGATTGGTAAAAGCTCTTTGATCCACTCATCACTAACGAATCACCGATAAATCAAAGTTGTATCTATCAACGCGTGCAGTCTTAATTTGCATCAAGATTCGTACCAAAGCTCTCTGCAGCAATATCGCGCAAACTACTTTGACACGAATATTGTTTTCCTCGCTCGCGTATCTCATTTTCACCTTTTCTCTCCCCCTACCGCCCTTACTTTCTTTATCACGCCAAGAAGTTATTTTTCGCAAGCAGATTAAGGATCAAATCTTAAAAAGAAAAGCGAGTCCTTCAGCCAGGACTTCCAACGGGTTTTGCGCCCCTGCTTTGCCCAACAAGCGGAAAGAGGCGGAGGCGGAGGACGTGACTCGCGCGAGACAGAGGAATAAACCAGAATGAATCACGAGGCCTCGTACGTCGTAGGTCGCGTGTTACGCGACGCGCCGAAGAAGAAGAAGCAAAACGAGGGCGAGAAGCGAGCGAGCGAACCGACGCGGAATATTTAACCGATCCCATCAATGGGGATATCGGGGAGCGTGGCGGCCGATGCGCTTTTCTCTCCTCCGCGTAAACACCACTTCGAGGTCTATCTTCTCGGCCTCCGCCCTGCCGCCCTGCCGCCCTGCCGCCCTGCCGCCCCCGAAGCCGCGAAGCTCTCCCGCTTTTTGCGCTCTTTTATTTCTCCATTGCGATCCCTCTCTCCGCGCTATCGCGCTCTTCCTCGCGAGAACTCTCCTCCTTTTCGCGCGGTTTCTCTCTCTCTCTCGTCCCTCTCCTCTCGCTTTCTCTCCCCCCACCCTCTCTTTCTCTCTCTCTCTCTCTCCCGCGCACGCTTTTCTCAGAGGCGAAGGGGCGAGACCCGGAGCGGTTAGCAAATATGATACCGGAATCGGATACAAGGAAACCATTAATCACCCAGGCGGGCGCGAATGGGACCCGGGTACCGCGAGGGCCGCCTAGTGGAAGATTTTTACGGCGTTATCGGCGGCCGGACGAAAAGAAGAGGAGGTCACGAAACCTGCCAAAGATCATCCAAGTCGCGCGAAAAACCTGACACGAGCGTGTCATCCGGATCGCTCGCACGGGGAGCAGGGGCGTCTTGGATTCTCTGGGACGCTCGCGGAGTCGGTCCGGGTGTTACTCCTTAAACGGCGAGGTTGCGACCGCGTGAGAAGCTACTTTCTATTTTGAATAAGTGCTCGAAACACAGTGGAATATAAAAGGATATCGTATTTGCGAATGAAAGGTTATTGGAATCACCTGAGGCGTTGCAAATTTCGCGCCGATAATTGAATGAAATAATGATTGAGTCATTCGGCTCGAACGCTGTTGATTCGAGCCGCTTATCTGGACGGCGATTAATAACGTAGGGGATATCGATCATCGATGCAATTTTCCCCAAGGGATACTCACTGTCGCTGTCGCAAGGGTCGAGAAGACTCTTGAGGTAGCCAATATCGGTCCTCTCTAAAATTCCCGCTCCTCTCTCGAAGCCTCCCTGCTCGACGATCCGCTCGAGCTTGGCGCAGCACGCACAATGGAAAGAAAGATCGGCCGCCTTATATAAGTCCAATTCGTGGGTGATCGCGATTACTTTAAGTCATCCCCGAGTCCACCGTTCGTTTGAATACTTTCGCGTGTATCTCTCTCTCTCTCTTTCTCTCCGTCTCTCCTCGCGTTTCGCCTTTTCGTGCTTCTCGAGTGATCTTACTCGCCCCGCGGTTTTGCCAACTATCGATTCTCGGTCTCTCGCGGGACGGGACCCTCGTGTCTTATAAGCACTCGGATGTCCCCACCTCTAATCGCGCGGGGAGCCTCTTCCTCTCCGCGAGGAACGCGCTCGGTCGCGTTGCGAGCTGCGACGACGGCGAGCCCCTTCTTGCGTTAGCCAGCTTGGCTCCAGACTATCGTCTCCTCTCTCACCCTCGTGTCCTCCTGTATCTCTTTCCTCCTCCCCCTCTCCTTCTCCGCCTTCTCCGCTTCCTCCGTCTTACTTCTCGCAAAGTTCCTCTCGAGAGTCCGCGGGCTCTTTATCTCTCGATTCCGCCCCGGCATTCTTCGCCGCCGTTGTCCGCCGGCGAAGCTGAATGATCGCGTTTTTCGCGCACTCGGCAATTACGATATCCCTACCCGATAGATATTACGACGTTACAATATCGTCACACGATATTACGACATTTCCGGACACCAACGTGTGGCTAGGCAAAGCAGCGGAGAAGGAGGGCCAAGTTTCCGCTGTCGGCACGCATTGTGCCAATTCTTTTATCGAACGACCAGAACTTTGATTCGTTTTATAACTTTCGAGTTGTATGTACACACCCGGCCTCGTTATTGTCTGTTATTTTTCGCGTGTGTATATAATTCTCAGAGCTTGGGTATATTTTAACAAGTTGAAGCGTGTTCTAAGAAATTAAAAGAATTTATATACAAATACCTATAAATAACGATGTCCGCTAAGATCTCGTACAACTATGATGAGGTAATCCCTCGTAAAAGCAGCATATATATATTTTTTGTCACGAAATAATTACGTAGTAATTTACGAAAAAGCAAAATGTTGTAACTATGAAAAAACTACAAAAACGATATAGAGGAAAGTCCCCTATTACGACATGGATTCCTAATATAAGATGGCGAGTTTTCACCGTCCAATTTCACGAATCCCTTTCGCAACAATTACACGCACGACCTAACAATGAATTTTCCATTAAACAGATTTCACTCCAACAGCAATAAATACACAATGGAAACCAGGGTCTTGTAACGAAGCTACAGTTACTTTTTGTTGGTAAAACCCTACCTTAACTTCGTCACTTTCTTTTCGTCCGTAACTGTAACTTGTAAGTTACTTTACATATATTTTAAACCTCCACAGATCGTGTTAAGGCCATTCTACAAATGCGTAAACGTGCAGGTTGTTAGCGGTTGTACAGTGTTGTAAAACACAGTTTTAAACTAGCATTTCCGATTGTAAAGCCTGTTGTAAAAGATGGCCGAACTTCATCTTTCACGAGTAAGTACAACGATATAGGACGTAAAGACTAACCAATCAGAATTCTGTCACGTGTTCATACCGCTCTTATCAAACGCTAAACCGTACTCTGATTGGTTATCACTTCAATTACGACGTATCTTATTCTATTGTATTTATATTACTTTGTTGTACAACACTTACTTCTACTTCTACGCCTACAACCCTACAACTACGTTTACGTAATTGTAGAATGGCCTTTAGGCCTTGCATTTGCGCATAAACGCCTTCACCGACGTTTTACAATTTTTATCGTAAGAAAGTAACGATCCGTTATTTTTTGAGTAACTACAACTAGATACTTTTATAAAGTAACCCCCAACTCTGGTGAAAGCAACAGATGACGCCTACTAATTTAGCAGAAACCCCGCTATCTCGTATTAAAAGCCTACCTCATGATAGAGGACTTTGGAACAATATACGAGGGTTGTTTGACAAGTTCCCGGAATGGAGCACGAGTGCTTGTCGGCGAAAGATATTCATACCGATGTGCAAAATAAACGAGCTCTTCTTCACAAAATACTTGATCATACCACGCACTTTGAGTTCACTCATTGTTCAAGAACCACGAAGGGTTCGTTCAAAGATGTGTAGAAAAAAATGCCCTGACGATTTAATGGACCGAGGTGAGACTTTACGCATGTTCGCAGGAGGGTGGAAACTTTCCATTCAACGTATGCCGTCTTTTGTGCGAGAGTATCGTTCGTACTTGGTTCCGAGAACTTTACCAATGACCTTACACAAGGTACCCTACTGAAGAAACAAGCTACGCGATACTTTCAAACATTTCTTTCACGTTGCAACGTCGATGAACGAAACGTCATTTCGCTCTGACGACGAGGCAGACGCGGCCCAGGGTTAATTTCTCGACGGTCAAACGACGGAGAAGAGACGCGGACCAATTTATCTTCCACTCTCTTCGGCGTATTCGCGCAATGTCATACGTCGATCTGACGCAATCGTGGAGGCAAAAAAAATCATCGCGTGAGAGAGAATCAGCGCGCGAGAGGGAAAGAGGGGGGAAAAGAAAGAGAGAGAGAGAGAGAGGGAGGGCGACGAGCTCCTGTATCATGTGGAACGATACGCACGATAATGCGCGCGTTTCGCAGCCGATGATCGCGATAAGCAATAATGACGGGTGTCGGATCGCGGTGCGGATCGATCGACCCGGCGGCGCCTACGCGATCGTGATTGTCGCGCTTTCTGATTGCGACCTGTCGCGTCGGCGTGATATATACATATTTCACGCGAGGATCAAAAGAGATCTGAGGCCGCGGCGAGCGGGATGAAACCATAGACACAGTATATATAGACTGCGCATTTTGGCTGCAGAAGTGCACAAACTTTAGAAAGAGACAATATACTTTGGACCTTATTCTCTCTCTCTGTCTATCAACATCTGGAGTGGGGCAAAAATTCAATATGGCTACTGTGCTTGACAGAGTGGACAGAGTTGTTGTCGACGACACGGCCTCGTCCACGTCCCTCGGCTGCGGCCTCGGTGGCCTCGGTCGACCCGTCGCCGTTGTCAGAACCTCCGTCGCTCGCTGGGGCACGCTCGCAAAACCACTGTTGACCGCCGTTGTCGTCGCCTTAGCGGAACAAATTCCTATAAATAACTAGAAAAAATTGACTTGAAATAGAAATTTGTAGAAATTCTTATATCTTCGTTGAAACATGTATTTTTTTGTAAAAGATACCTACGAAATAGTAGTACCGCAAATTACAATGTTCTCAAATCAAGAAATTATTGCAAGTAGTATTTCATGAAAATGTACAATTTTGTAAAAAAATTAGTACAAAACTTTACTAGTTTAAAAAATTTGAGAAACAACAAAATCTTAAACAATTGAAACATCTGCTTACTTGTAGAATATTACAAGAATTAACAAAAGTGTTGTTCCAATTCTAGCATTTTCATGTGGATTTTTATAACACTTTTTAAATTTACGTAGAATGGATTCACTTAGTAATTTAATTGGCCACCTCCACCTGTGCCAGGTCCTAAAATGGCGTTTACCCAGTGAGAAATGATTCGTCGATCGACGTCGAAACCACGTCGAATCGACATCGACACCGTCGAATTGACCGATCGATTCGACACCATTTCGATGTCGATCGACGAATCATTTCTCACTGGGTAAGTTTCAAATTGATTTACATCTTAAAGGACCGAGTTAAAAAAATTAGTTGTTTACGTAGAATTTCTTAGATTCTGGCAGTTAAATTTTATAGTTTTGTAGAATTATTTCCGGCAGGTCGCCGTAACGCTTATCCTTTAACCTCCATCATTTCTCTACTCTTCTGTTAGGGTCAGAGCGCAAAGAAATGTAATGGCTTACAAGAAAGACGCAAGCGTAAACGTAGATAGCGCACAGGCTTTGGCGTACGTCGTACTTACCTCCAATTACATATGACGTTACTTTTACGCCAAAGCTTGTGCGCTATCTACGTTTACGCTTCACTAGACAAATATGAGACGCGGCCCGACATGAGCTATCTCGTTCTAAAGCTTGTACGTGTTTTTACACGGGTGAGGTAGGAAACGCGCATCTCTCCCCTCGTTTGACTAATTGGTTAGTCGTGGCCGTATTGGCTCCGGCGGGAGTCAGGAAGCCAGTAGCGCAATAATAATAAAATAATAGGGAACGCGCAGTCTATTCTCACTATGTCTATGGATGAAACATGGCCCAGCGGAATAGCCGTCCACGAGACGCGGAATTTCGGGTCCACTCCGGATTCACGCCAGCCCCTCTATTCTTAGGTACCATTATTTACGAATCGTGTGCTCGATCATCTCGTCCCGATCGGGAGCCCGCGAGTGACGGAATTCGCAATCCGCGGAGGAATTTATCGCCGCGCGAAGCGTCTCAAAGGCACAACGCGCGGAGGATCCGTCGGATCAACATCGATAGCGCGCGGTAATGGATCTCGGAATGCGCCGTGTGACGGCTTAAAAGCCGCCGTTTTACTTTGTGCCCGAGTCCCGCTAGCCGACGGCGGCCGCTCTATTTTCGCCGATGATGAGGGATTCCGCGGACGAGTGCGAATTCTAAACGCGTGCGTCGCGCGGCGTACTTCTCGCGTGCTTCGATCTCGCTCTCGATTTGTCCTCATTGAGGGGAAGGTAGCTGCGGGTTTCACGCGTACTCGAACGGTATCGATTCCGAGCACGATATAGCACAATTGTTATAATCGTACCTCGTGCACTTGTTGCGTCTTTCCTTCGGTGCCATGGCAGTCTCGCGCCGCCGAAACTCACCGAGTTATATACAAATGTCATTTGAAAGGAAAAAAAAGAAAGAAATGTATATCTAATTTCGTGTCCTCACAATTCCGATGGAAGATTGTTATATAATCGTCCTCGTTGAAAAATTACATTGCCGGTATCTTTTATTGATATAAGCACGCCAAAAGAAAAAAGCTTTTAATACATTATTTATACACGTGTGACCAAGTAATTAAATTTTTTATTATTATCAAGTATTATTTATAAATCGTTACTATATCGGATGTGAACGGCAAAATTAGAACATGACTAACGATTAGTCAACCGATTTCAAAATAATTATTGACCGCAAGTCTATTAGAAAAATATTCGAGATAAGGTGGATGGTGATGGAAAACTAATCGAATTCGTAAGTTTTTACTTGTTCTATTACGCAATTCTTATCTTTCTTTTCACCAGTCTTTTTTCAGTGCGCACGCGGACTGAAGCAAGTGAGCCTTTTTTTTTATTTGCTTATCGGATATCTTGCGTTTTTTTTAAGTAACTTTAGTCTTGTTTTTATATCGCTCCTAAAATTTTTATATGCGCAGTTATCAAGTTACACGAGCGAGACGCGTTGCTAATCGTTGAGGACCGATTTCAAATTGGACGATAAAGAGTTCCTAGCTCTGATTTTTTTTTCTGTAAAACATATATCTTAAAACGATTACTTCGTATCTTTCCCCTCTCCATAAAAATTTTAACGTTAGTTAAATATTTTCTGTGTCCTTCTCTTCTAAGTCTGCCTTGAAATATAGAAGTTTTTTATTTCATAACTGTAAAACGTTTCCAAGTTTATGAAAAAGAAATGATAAAAGTGTCGAAGCAGTTGTCGATTAATTTTGAGGTAAGACGATATTTATATGCAGATCTCTCTCTTTTCATTTCGTTCGTTCTATAGACGGTTTTAAGGGCGACATCGTACTCTGGTGCAAAATGCTGTTGCCCGGCGCCGTGAAAAGAATTTACAATCTGCAAAGCAAGCAGCTGATAAAATTGTTCGCGCGATTGCTGCTCCAGGACGAGGACGCGATGCTGGAGCATCTGGAGCAAGGCGACGTGGCCGAGACGATCAGCGTGTTCTTTGAAAATAGCGCTGCCGTGTCGCCTTGCGCCGCGAGCGTGTTGACAATTCAAGACGTAAGTCGGCGTAACTTTGTGAATTTCGAGGACAAAAAGCAATTCTCACAATGAGAAGCTGAAGGACAAAACTTAAATCAATTATAATCAATTGGTCCGACAATTTATTACATTCCTTTGATTTAGTCCTTCAGTTTACCTCCGTAATTAATTAATCCGACAATTACTACAATCTATGATGAAATTAATGAACCAGTTAAATAGGGTTTGGACAAAGTTCACTTGTAGGAATATTATCGTAGAGGATTGATATTTTTAAGTATGAAACTGTAATCTGGCTATAATGAAAGTAGTTTGAGGTGACGCGAGGTAACGAAATTATTTAAATCGGTGCATAATTCATCCGAAAGAAACATGCAAATATGCATAGAATGATCCATCAAAGTCTCATATGCATAGAATCATCCATCAAAATCTCTTTATTAACGAGATTTATTGGGTAGGTTGACCTCTTTTTGGAAAACTTGTCGCGTTTGACCAAGGAGGAGGAGCAGATCCAGCATTTTCGATCTATTCTCGATAAGTAAGTTCGTTGATCGGCCGTTCTTCTCGTTAACCTTCCAGCTGCGGCATGCGAAGAGGTCTTCTCGGAATATTTATCAATGAAACAAATATACAAACGCACCGCGATTACGTCGCGTAGCTTTGACTTATCGTTTACATATCCAATTGGCATGAAATAACGATAAAATTATTTTGGCAATTAACGCATGGAGTCCCAATCTCTTGCGGTTTATCGTATTTACTCACTTGATTAGTATTGCTTCTTATAATTTCTCTTTCAAAATTTTATTCTCTTGGTACGAAAGACACTTGCAGCTGAACGGTTAAACGCCATCTTTATTTATTCTTCTTTTCTCACGTCTATTCGAAATCGCTACAAACGTACGATAAAAATTTTAGATGTACGATTAATGATCTGAAGATGATCGTGCGTCTGATCAAACACGACCTGAGGATCAATGCTGGGCCGAAACACATGTGAGTGCGCGCACGTTCGATGTTCTTTTTCTGTCGGTTTCAAAGTCGATACGACGACGACGAATTAGAGAGTACATAAGTATATTTACCTAGTCTCGAGGGAGTCAACGCGGATGCGTACAAAGCCTTCCAGATGTCCCGAGATCTGGAAGCGGTGGTGCGACGTTTCCTGCCGAACCTGGAGGATAAGCCGTGCGCCTCAAGCTCGATTTTAAGCCGAAATAAAGTGGCCATCTCGCTGATGACGCCCGTTTTACCGATGCTGGTATACTGAAATAAATCCGCGAGAGTTGTCTTTTAATGTGTTGTATAATACATAGAATATATGTGTACTCTGAACATTAATAATTATTTATACTTTAATTAAGTAATTGGGAATTAAGTATTAAATCGTTTATTAAATCCCTTGTTATTACGAGACATTTGTTTTAATAATTAAGTCATTTTGAGAGAAACTTTTAATCAACTTGATAATTATGATACACGTTAACAATTTTTGTTATACATTAACAACTAAATAGTCGTGCGTTGTTGTCAACTGTTTGTCATTAGCTAATTACCAGCTATAATTGACTAATCAGTCGGATAGGTAATTAATAAATTGATCAATTAATTAAGGCACAGGCATGCACGTCTGTGGAGATGGCGATGCGAAAGTGCCCGAACGGGATGTTGTCGGAGGTCAAGTACGACGGCGAGCGCGTGCAGGTGCACAAAAGCGGAAACGACTTTCGATACTTCAGCAGATCTCTCAAGCCTGTTCTGCCGCACAAGGTAGAGATAATAATTCGTGGAAGTACATAAACAATTGATATTACTTTACGGTTTAAAAGTTGTACGCGACCTTATAGAAACCGTTCAAAAATAGAAAGCGTCAAATTAACATAAAAAAGTGTGATTAATGTTATGCAAAATTAATTGAACTGAAATCGGATACGTAAAAGCGCGTTTTCGATTTTTTTTGTATTGAATGTTTTACTTTGGAAATGATAGTGTGAAGATAGTGCCGCTAACAAGCGCGGAGAATGTTGCCTTTGTAATTTTAAATTACACACACGAACAATTTGAAACGTACGAGGGCAAAGTGCGATCGCGTGATTCGATTCTCATGCTTAAGGGGTGACCGACGAATAATCTATTGTTTTAGGTGAACCTCTTCAAGGATTACATAAAGCAGGCGTTTCCTAACGGTGACGATTTAATTCTCGATTCTGAGATTCTCATGGTCGACAATCAGACCGGGCAACCTTTGCCTTTCGGCACCTTAGGAGCTCACAAAGTAAGAGCGACGAGTTTTGTCCCTTGTCGTAAATCTTTTCTTTTCATTCAAATATCTCCAACGATTTCTAGATGCAACATCTTTGCATCCGTTTCCATGTCATTTAATTCATCAATTTGAATTCTGCGACCAACGATGAGTTTGTAATAATTGTGTGCAGTGATACTTTAAATAATAATAATACGAGATAGCGACATGTTAATATACGTGATCGAGTTTATTTTCAGAAAGTTGAATTCAAAAACGCCAACGTGTGCCTTATTGTCTTCGACTGCATGTATTACAACGGCGAGATACTTATAGAGAAGTAAATATCGAGTTTCCACAAAAATATGCAATAATACTTTGTAATAACTATTCCGATGTCGATACGCTGAATCTTGTTTCCTTCTCTTTCTCTTTTATCGCGTTAGATCTATGTTGGAGCGCAGGAACATCTTGAAGGACAGGATGACCGAGATACCGAACAGAATAATATTGTCGGAGGTTCACGAAGTGCATGTAATGAAAGAGAAAAAAATTAAAAAGCGCTAATATATTTATGGCGGTATCGTAGATTACAATATTTGCGTCTTCTTTCAGGATCCGCGGGATTTAGCGGACAGGATTATCCACGTGTTGAAACTGGGCCTCGAGGGTTTGGTCCTAAAGGACATCGATGTACGTATCGACCCTCGTAGACGCGTGGAGACTTTCCGTTACGAAGACTCTTACATTACTGTTTTATTTCTTCGATAACACTACCATAATTATTTATTTACTTTATTATTTATACAAATGTTTCTCTCGTCTTGTCTATCCGTAACTTCCCACGATCGGTAATTTTCAAAGATCTCCATGACGTCGTTCTCGAGAAGCTTTTTTTCGTGAATCGCCAAGCATTTGTGTTTTACGCTGTTTCGAAATCTCCGCGTTTTCAGAGCAAATACGAGCCGGGCAAAAGACACTGGTTGAAGGTAAAAAAGGACTATCTGTGCGGCGGTGCGATGGCTGATAGCGCAGATCTCGTCGTGCTTGGTGCATGGTACGGCACAGGCAACAAAGGTCCGTATAACCTGCCTTATCGCGGCGCGGTGTGAAAGATTTGTAAAATGGGATGTTTAACTTGAGAACTATCGTGGGATAATTTCTATTAAACAGTCGTAATTGTTTAAATACGATGAACAATCCTTGTTATGTAACGACGACTAAACAGTCACCGTCGTAACTTGGATGCACCTCCTCTTAAGGTGGCTCCTGCATAAACCGACCAAAAGTAGAAAAAATTAAAATTTAAGTATGTTGTAGGTGTAAATTTTATCTACCAGTACGCGAAATTTCAGACTCGGTCGCCGATGAGATAAAATAAAGACAAAATGTTTAAGTTGTACTTTTTAACATTCCAGTAAACACCAAGTAACAATTACATAACATCAATATTATAATTTCCTACTCAACAAGATAAATGAAATATAACACCCATGTTATGTTATATTTCCATTGTGAACACTCTTAAAAATAGTATTCTGGTGCAAGAATTGTTTGAGATAACGTACATGGCCTATAGAATTGCTGTACATGGAATTGAAAAGTTCAATATTTCGAGGGTAGTTTCTATCCTTAAAATGCTTTATGAGCACAAATAAAAAAATAGGGGTCAAATATTTTTCGAAGTTGTACAAGTGTGCAAAGTTTAAAAAAAATGGACGTGTAACACTTGGGTAGTGTTACTTGTTAGCATATCAATGCATTTGCTCAATAATGCATTAAGTGATATTTTTTATGAATAAAATAAAAATCAAAGGGGCTCCACCAAGCACTAACCGCTCCTTCGTGCACGAGCCACGTTAAAAAATTTTAATTAACAAAGCTAATATAGTATATAATAAAGCGGAAACAGACGAAGGAATGAAATTAATGAAACAGTTTTTATATGTATCTAAAGCGAGACTTATTTCAAGTCGTACTTCGTAGAAAAACGATCAATCTTCCGCACCTACGCGATCTCGAGACGTGTTCGACGTTTCTCTAGATGTTTTTCTTTTCTTTCCTTTAAATTTATTTTCCACAGGCGGCATCATGTCGGTTTTCCTAATGGGTTGTTACGACGAGAAGCGCGACAAGTGGTTAACCGTTACCAAAGTAAATTAAATGTTTAATGAATTTTAAATCAACTTTAAGTCAACTCGAATCGGAGTAGGAGATCACGTTTGTCGTCGTAGGTACACACGGGACACGACGATGCTACCCTGGCGGCACTGCAGGATCAATTGGACATGGTGAAGATCGGCAAGGACACGGAGAAGCTACCGAGCTGGTTACTCGCCGAAAAACCCATGGTACCAGATTTCGTAGCGAGGGATCCCAAGGTAATCCAGAGAATCAACTCGATCGACAACTTCTGTTTATCTCCCACTGTGTTCTCCTCGTAACTCGGGTCATTTGAATCTCATTTTTAAAACGCAAACTACGAAGTCCGTATAATTCGGAGTTAATATACTTCCTCGTTAATCCACCGTAACTGCTAATCGTCATTTCGACGGGGGGGACAAATAGAAGCAGCCGGTATGGGAGATAACGGGCGCCGAGTTTACGAATCAGGGGGTGCACACCGCGGATGGCATCAGCATCCGGTTTCCGCGCGTCACGCGGATCCGCGACGACAAGGACTGGCTGACAGCCACCACTCTGGACGAGCTACGTGGCCTCTTCCAGAAGAAGCCCGGGTCCGTCGATTTCAGCCGTCTCCTCGGCACGTTAACGGATGTCAAGGACGCCCCGAGAAAGAAACTGTCCGATCCTACGGATACATCGCCGAGAAAGACCGAGAGTGCGAGGGCAGGCTCGTGGGATGCGCCATCAACGAGTTCCAAGGCCAAAGAGGAGCCGACGGACGTCAAGGAGAAAGTTAAGGCAGTATCGTTTCCGGAAGGAACCCTTAAAAGACGAAAGAGGGATGAATGCGACGATGGTTCACCGGACAAAGTCCGGTCGGAGAAGAAGAGAGCGAAAGTGAAACGCGAGATTAAGGGAGAAACGAAGGATCTCTCGTCGACAAGATTCAAGAAGGAAGAGAAATCGAATTCGGGGATGGAACAGGAAGTATCCTTCGAGTCCTCATTCGATGCGAGTGTCTCCGATTCGGATATCGAAGATATCGTAAGTATAATAATTTTTTTTCTTTGATAGCCGGAGAAACCCAAACAACACGTATGTCTAAAAGACATCTTTAAGACGTCTTTTAGACATGCGTGCTGTATGGGAATGTCATCTCTTAATCGATTTCTGTAACTGCAAAATTTTCTAATTTTCTATGTTTCTTTTCAAACGATATCGCGAATCACTCTTAAGTGCTTCCTTGTATCCCCTTTCGATTTATGTTTACTCAATTAATTAATTTAATTATTAATCCTGTTGTGCTCGAATAACATGCATCGCTCGGATAATGTTAATGTTAGTACGCTCGTTAAACATCATCTACATCGTTGTGTTTACTTCACTCGCTGCCTATGTTTGTGCAAGAAAACCAGTTATTTATTTATGTTATATAGCTTGCTATTATACGCGGATGCATTAACATCCTGTGCGCGCGAATTTGACGACCGGATTACTCTGTAATATTTAAGGAATGTATCTTTGCGCCATTAATTAATGATATAGCTCAACTTTAGCTTGTAAACGATCCAAGAAAATTGAGGAGAACTACAGATCGCGAGGTCTTTTTGTGAATGCGGTATATTTATTATATATCCGATAGAGAATGTTTCACTACCTCGACTGCTAGAAATGAGGAACAAGTTATCTAGTTCAAAGAAGCAAAGACTATAATCGTCTCGATTTTCTTGTTAGAAGCGCGACTTTTCTCGTTCGACGATTACCTGTAACTTTTTAAAGAAAACGGATGACGTTTCATTCGTAGGTCTTTCTATTTATACACTCTTTTATGTCCTTACAATTACATGACAATGATGAATATGTCTTCCTCTCTCTCTCTCTCTCTCTCTTCTCTCTCTCTCTCTCTCTCTCTCTCTCTCTCTCTCTCTCTCTCTCTCTCTTACTGATTTCTCGCAATTTGTCACTACCAATGTATCCTTTATCAACGATCTTTCATGTACAAACCTGTTCCCGTTGTTCGCAATTCAGTATCTCTATTCGCTGAAGCATTGAGCGATCGAAGTCGGTCTCCTCATTTATCTTCTTGGAAGTAAACTAACATAACAGTTACAATACTTACCCAGCTATGCGTATTTACAAGTTTGTGGCACACGTAACCGTATTTAACTTTGTGTGCAAAATGTTTCCGTTTAGTCAATTTGACTCAGCTTTATGATTATTGTATATCATTTTGCATATTATGTATAATTATTATATACTGTTTATATAATAGTTATATAAATATAATAATTACGCATTATTATAAATTTCTTTATATACATATACTTACCATATAGTATTTATATATTGATATTTATATCGATTACGTTATGTTAGTTTTACTTTTTTATATAAATTTTTATTCTGCACTTTACTTTTTTCTTCCGTATGTTACACTGTTTTATTTTTACGTAACATTATTATTTCTCTTGGTGACATCATACCGCTCTCTTTTTCTGTGTCTTCTACGCATTTTTTTTTTTTCAGAAATTCAATAATGTGCTGCAAGACGTGCGAGCATGTCTTGCGCCTGGTTTCGATACAAGCAGAAGGAAGGACGCACGGAGGATGCTTAAAATGTATCCTTTCTTTCATCATTATTTTAATAATTCGCGCAGCGCTATATTCATTATAATTACATTAACTTTACACTCACATTACATTCGCAATTTCATAAAAGCTCAATGATTTTATGATGGTCACGCTCGCCCCCGGTAATTTCATAAATTTTTATCGCCCCTCCCCTCATTTCCCTCATCCTTTTCCTCCCTCGATCCTCTAATCGATTTTCGAAGTAACGCAATGTCGGCCTCGTATTAACACGAAAGTTGCATCATCGGAACTTGTAATACACGTTTCCTATCTATGCAGTCGCAATGAGGATCTTATATCTAAATTCATACGTAAATGATTTGACAGAGCAGAAAAAATTGGTGACAAACTTAACGAAATACATATTCACGCGGTTTTGCGAAAAATACATGCAAAGTCATATTTTCAGAAAAGTACTTTAAAGTCTAAGAAAGTCGCTTTCGCACACAAATCTTCTCAAGCTTTTACTACTCGGACCGAAAGCAGCGCCATAGAAGAATCTTTGATGCGGTTTATGCGAGAGTGCAATTTTTAAGTTTCGAAATGTTTTTCCGAAAATAATTTTCAAAATAATGATCACTTCTCGCGAAATCACATTAATTCGCCACTCTTGTTACTTTCGGATTTGAAGTGGTTATTTAATTTTACCGAAGGGTCTGCATGTATTAGATTTTACATTGCACATCTCATGTGCGCAATTTAATTACATAATAATTATAATAATTGAGATGTATACGTATAGTATACACATTGTAAATTGAACGGATATAATTTGCCATCGAGTGTGAGACACATAATATTTGACTTGGTATAACGCGGTGCAGTATGTATTAAATCAGATTCTCGATGGGTTGCCAACGGTCAGATACGAGTATATCGCGCTGGCTCGCGTATAGGATCCTTATTCCCGGAGGAATTATTCGGTCACCGTTTACCCCGTCGCTGGATTCGCCTCTGCAACATTTCCACGGCGTGACCCCTGCAGGTCTACTCGTTCTTTACGAAACATACCTTCCCCCGGGGCGAGTTTAAAGCCGAGCGTGCTAACGTTCTCGAACTGTGATCTTTCCTTGACAATGTTAAAACGTTAGACTCGGTGCGACGATGGTTACGTCGGCGAACGGACACGACTCGAAGGCGACTCATGTCATCCACACGCGCACGGAAATTCCGTCCTCGGCCGTCCTTGGGGTAAGTTTGAACTAGTTAAATGGCATAATGCACACGTGTCCCCGTGAGATTGTAATACGCGACTATGCGGGGGGGTGCGACGGAGAGCCAGCTTAGGACCAGCGGCGAGTAAGAAACTCAATTTTGAACAGATCGGCTCTGAGTCAAATCTGTTGGGTAAACTCCAGGGTAAGGACACCCTATTCGAATATTCATCTATTGTGTGCGTAAAGGTCTGAAAATATTTGAGTCAAGTGTAGGGGGAATTACATTGATAATATAAACCTCGATCAATTTTAAAATATATAATAATATAATATATTATGTATCTATTATTTCAATTGATAGAAAAAAGTCCAATTATGAAATAAGCTTCTAATATGAGATAGCGGAGTTTCTGCTAAATTAATAGACATCATCTGTTGATTCCATCGTGAATTTATTGCCCTTGGAGTGAAATCTGTTTAGGGGAAAATTGATTGTTAGATCGTGTAATCGTTGCGAGACAAGATTTGTAATTAAATTTGGATGTTGAAAACCTGCTATCTCATATTAGAGTATCTCATAATGGAGGACTTTTCTCTATATATTATGTTTGTTATTGCTACAATATATAATATTTATATTAAATATATTATACACATATATTATAATTACAACACAATTGCACGTAAATTAATCATATTTTGAAAAAATTGTATCTTTTTCCCGTGAGTTGCACTTTACTCGCTCGCGATCCCAAGCTGACCGTTCCTTCGTTCGCGATAACACCCCACGGATCCGCTATCTAATGGCCGCCGGGCGGCCTTACCGCTTTCACCGCGGCGAAAAATCGCGGCGGAAATTTTACACGTTATCGTACGGCGGGGACGGGATGGGATGCGAAGGTAACAGGCTATAACGGGATTAACCACGGTTAATACCACAGCCATTACCATCTCCGACCCAGACGTTCGCCACTTTCCGCCATCCTGGAAGCAAGTTCCTGGGCTCGATTAATCGTCAGTGCCGATTACCGGCTGTCGCAGTTCACTCGCGCCATTAATTTTCCACCGTTACGACGGTTGCGGGAAAACATTTGCGTATCACGAGCGGAACGTGATGTGAAGAGTGCTCGCGCGTCGTTGCCCCCCACAATTTTACACCAACTTTTTCCTCTTCCACCTCGTCCCTCCTTTTTTTATCGGGTCCCAGCAACTCGATATAACCCGTACAGTGCTTACGTCATCAGCGCTTATCGGGTTCATCAGAAGGTTTATTCGTTCTTTCCTCGTTCATTAACGTGAGAGCCACGTGGGCGAAAACGACGGAATTCCTCAGGTCGATTGAAAAATATATCGTGTTTTATCAAGTAATTCTAAAATGCACTTGCGCAACATGGATAATGATTGAATTAGTGCGAACAGCAAGGGGACATATGAGACATTTTGGCCGAAATTAAGTTAATGGATTCCTGATGTAGTTTAAAACCAAAATATTTACTAAATTTTTATAATAAAAACTTACTTAAGGAGCCCCCTCTTCTTATGGGAAATATAAAAGCTACTGTGAAACTTTCCATGTGCTTATAAAATAGTGTCTTTTGTTTTTCTTAAATATATTTTGTCACATGTATTCTTTCTAACCGATTCGATTCTCCAAGACACTTAAAGTACCGCTTGGAAAAGAATGTGGAAAGGAGAGAAAAGGATATTCTCTTATAATCGAGACATTACGTTGATTAAATTCGTTCGACAAAGCCCATTTTTTATTTTCGCTCTCGCCCGGTGAAAGAAAAGGAGAAACGATGGGTCTGATAATATGCGCGTGACACACGATCGTGAAATGTCGCTCTTTCATTCGCAAGGACTTCGTGGACTTTCCGCGAGCCGTCAAGCACGTGAATCTATCCTGGTTGGAGGAAACTGCGGCACGGTCGAGGAGACAGGACGAGGTCCCGCATGCGGTCCAGTTGGCCGGCGATTATTGCGATTGTCCGTGCATTCATCGATAACGCAACAAGTATACTCTCGTACGTACGATTTGTATGCATCTTTGCTTCGCAAATGTCTTTTGTAAATGTTAATTAAATATGTAAATTTGCTACAAAGCAAATTATAAACGTGTCCTGATAAAAGCAAAAAGTGGAATTACAAAGCAAAAGTAAAACATACTCTTGTTCGATAATGAAATTATTTTCTTCGTTTAACTCTTGCTTCCTTTTCAAGTAAAGTATATATATTTAAGCAGTTTCGGAAAGATTCTGCCAAAGATTGGAATCTGTTTGAAACCAATAATTGCGATAATCTTATTAGAGATTAACAAGAAACACAAGAAAATTGTAAACAACTAACGAGTATGGAGAACATCTGCGCTCTCCGTACGATTAAGCGAATTATAAGCAGACTCAATTTGCTAAGTGGCATTTGAACTATTAAATTGCGCGAGAGTGCAAATAAGATAACAATGCGGCGAATTAAATTCACGTACCGCGACATCGCCGGGTTGATCGCATGTAGGATCAATCGGCAGGGAGAGGTAAGAAAGTTTATGCGATCGAGGGGCCAATTACAACAGTTTAATCATTCATGGAATTCTGTGATGTATACAGGAGAGACACATTGATAACAGGCAAATGAAATTACGCATTAATTATATATATTTATATTGTATGATATGACGAATAGCGTTAGATGCTGGTCGGTTTTAAGTTTAGAGCCGAAAGAAGAACAAGACTTGGCACGTGATCGTTCATGGTATCCTTTGATATGTATTCTGCGATTATACACATACAATCCATCCGCGTTTCCGTTATTAGACGTCGTTGTAATTTCATTATCGGTTCACCGCGATTGAAATTATTTTTCGGAATATCTTGTCTCTTCGATCTTTCCTTTCGCGCGCTTACTGTCTTCTCTCACGAAGGATGAGAATAATGCAGGGGGATCCGGAAAGAATAGCCGACGGAAGTGACTTTTGTAGCTACTTTAAATCTTGAAAGCTCTAAGATCGAACAACTTGTGAGGGGATGAGACTAGGGATTTTCTCTTTTTTTTTGTCTTGCCTTACGCGCCGGAAGGTTCGGGAACGCGCATCGCGAATAAACGGTTGTGAATATCGGCGAGAAGTCAAAGTATTCGCTAACGTTCATATTTTCTTTTTTGACTCTCTTGTCGTTACGTCTTTTATTCATTCGTTTACTTTTAGACGATTGATTTCTGCAATATTTACATCGTATCGTCTTTAACAAAGAAATTTGCGCGTTGACGCTGGCATTTATTCGACACTCCCACCGTCGCGCCTTTTATTCACATCGCTTATTTTCGCGGCTAATTTGTTTTTGCAATATTAAGGTTTTCGAGATTTAATCTTATAAGTTACGTGGGGTGCCCGAGAGAATCGATTTCTGGCGGATTTACTCAAATAATGCTCGACTGCGCGGCGCGGTTATTAAAATTAATTAAATCGTTTTATCGCATTATCAAAGTCGGATCTTTCCGACTCTATAATAATGCCAAAAACGCATTTCGACATCACGAAGTCTCCCGCTAAACGGATTAGTCGCGCTAAATACTTTATAGTCGGGGCTATTACTTTAAATATTCAGCTATTTTGTTAAACGGATTACGTCGCGCGAAGCGGACCAGGATGTGTGTTAATTTAACGGCGCTTAAATCATAGTTACCGTTATCGCTAATAAATAATACCCGTTAACGTCGAATCGCATTGCATTTTCATTTGCGGCCTGATGTTAGATTCCTTCCGCGGGATTCCTCGCGTGTTACGGGGGTTCCTGAACTTTCCGACGGGGACACACATAACAATCTTCTCTTGCGTCTTTTCCTCTCTCTCTCTTTCTCTCTCTCTCTCTCTCTCTCTCTCTCCTCCCCCTCCCCTCCTCTCTCTCTCTCTCTCTCTCTCTCTCTCTCTCTCTCTCGCGCGCGCGCGCCCGACTTTTCCTCCTGTCGTGTCGCGAACCTATTTACCGAAGCAGGCCACCGCGTTCGTGGCACACATCTTCCAGGAGCTTCGTTTGTGCTGTAAATCGCTGAAGTTCAGCTGATTGCGAAGGCTCTTCACAATCTGCTTGGAGAATATGTAATTCATCAGGGCTGCCTCGATGTTGCCGTCGTCATTCACCAGCTGGAACAATTAAAAGTCTATTTACAGTTTTTCTTTTTCGAGAAGCTAACACACTTCTAGTGAAGTGTAAGCCGAGACGAGTCGTAATTTAATTCATGTAGTTACGAAAGTCTTTTCACGTAAATGAGAAACTAGCATAATTTATACTGCTCTACAAATGTACATGATCTTCCGAGAATGGAAGAGCAAAGCAGAAAGAGACAATAAAGTTCCCCTTTTAATTACACTTAATTAAATGAAATATTCAATATCAGTCAATTTATATTATTGTTAAAGCAACGAAATTAAATTGAATTACCTGTCTCGATTTCGGTGTAATTTATTTTGTCACTTTTGGGAAAAGAGAGAGAATTTTGTCGCTTTGTAATATCTAAAAGAAATACCATTTTAAGGTAGACCGAGAACAAGTATCGCAACTCTAATTCATATACACAGAAAAAGAGAATATTCTTCTTTTGAAAATATGTTTAGTTTTAACGTGAACATCTTGAAATGAGACTATAATGCGTTAACCGAAGAAAAACTTACTTGAATGAAGCAATTTTACATAATTCAGTCAAGAAAAATGTATGCTTATTATTTAAGAATAATTTTCTTGAATAAAAAGGAAACAATGTAGGATAGAAAATACCATATGTTCAAATCGAAGATTATGATTAAAATGATTTTATTGTCAAAATAATTATGTGTATTCTAGAAGTGATAATTATAGTAGTATTTAAATAAGACTGTATAATATTGTTGGAATGTAAGATTATGAAATGCTTCTAAGAAGATTGTATAATAGATTGTTACGTAGTTATAAAACAATGAACGCGTTAATTTGAGTATATAACAGTTGATCTGACACTTTTTCTGTGTAGTCGCACGTTTCTTCTTCTTCGGCTACATTGTGCGATAGGATATCTTCGAGAGAGAAAAACATTATATAAATAACCTTTCTGAAAATACGCCATCTCACAGTAGCAATATCTTTTCATCGGAGTTGTCCCAATAATTTTACGGTAAACAAGTAAAACGGACGACAATTCCGATGCGAGCAGAAACGACCACGTGCCGTGGTCCGCAGTTTGACACGTCGCAGTTTTAACGTGCATTTCAACGGGAGAACGTATGTGCGTGAAAACACGATTATCCCTCGTTAATAACCCAATAATAAAAAGCGAACAGCTCACGGCGCATTACAAGCGAGAGCGCTTTTTCGTTAGCGGGATGTAATGGGGCGTAAATTGTGTCGTCGAGGGTTGGGGCGGAGAGCACGAGAGGGCAAACTGTCGTATTTATTGCCGATGGCTGCAGTCGTTTGTAGGTATACGGTGCGATTGACATTTATTTCAGCATTTCCCACTGCGCCGATAAAAGGTAGAGTACGTGTTGCGTTTTGCTGTGCATTCGCGACTCCGCGTTCCGCGTCTAATCCGCGCGCGGATAAGGCCAACCTCTGGCCGAGGGTTGACGAAGTGAAATTGAGAATTATTGTGAAACCGACAACGGGATATATTTTTCTTGACTGAATTATGTCAAATTGCTTCATTCAAGTTTTTCTTCCTTTAACGCGATATAATGGCTACGTTCAGCAGAAAAAGCTGCTTTGCAACTGTTGTAAAATGCATGAATCTGATTGGCGTATGCACTTAAATTCACTCAAGAGTAAGAGACCACACCAATCAGATTCACGAATTTTACAACAGTTGCAAAGCAGCTTTTTCTGCTGAACGCAGCCAATCTCATTTCAAGATTTTCACGTTGAAACTAAACATATTTTCAAAAGAAGAATATTCTTTTTTTCTGTGTATACGAATAAAGCGACAACGGGACACATCGCGGTTTGGATTCCGTCGAATGGGGAAATACGCGTACAAACATACAAGGGTGGATTGAAAAGTTTTGAGCCTTAACATGAGGAAGCATTACTTGTCGTCGCCACTTCAGTACTGCGACTGTACATGTTTTGAAGGATACCTCTGAAAAGTTCAGCCATTTTGGACTCTCAGTTGTTGTACGACAGTCGTTTGTGTCAGTGGATGTTACTATTTTCGTAAATATGGACAAAGTAAAAATTCACGAATTGCAGTTCGAACTGATTGACCACCCCTTGTATTTCCCCAGTGACTATTTTCCTAAACTCACAGTTCGGCTCAGAGGACAGACATTTTCATCGAACGAGGAGGTCATAGCATCCGTAGATACCTATTTTGCAGAGCAAGACGCCAATTATTATTTGGACGGGTTAAAGCGGTTGGAGCATTGCTGGATTAAGTGTATCGACTTAAAAGAAGACTACGTCGAAAGGTAAAAGTGTGTTTGACCGAAAAAAATTGTTTCTATGTTGGGCTCAAAACTTTTCAACCCACCCTCGTATACATCGTAAAGATGCACCACGTTGGCTGCTTCCTTGAGCTATATAATAAGATCATTTTCACACTTTATCGCTATATCTGGCCGTGGATTTCCACAAAAGCCTCATCATTATTGGTGTGATACAGTTGACGGTTTTATTTATCCAGTTAAAAACGATTTTACCAAATATCTAAGACATTGTTAAAAATAATATAAATTAAGAACAAAGTATTACTATAAAATAATACATTAGATTTGTCAAGGTCTGTACCTATCCATAAGAAATATATAACACTTGCTCCAAATTCTAGCATTGTGGACACAGGCCTTTAGTAATAATAGATTTACGTATGTATGTGTTCTTTTACTTTTCTGCTTACATCTGCCTTAATCACAAAACGATCTACAATATTTCGATCTGTGATTGATAGTCCTATTTACTTATAAACACACAGCGCGCGCTAACGCGCGCGCTTTTACGGTCTTTACTTTTTTCTCTTGTACATATACATAACAAATAATTATATAAAAAGAAATATAAATTTTTAAATTTATTTTTAAAAATTTATTTTCTATATTCTCGTGTTTAGTTACACAAAATATTCCTCTGAACTTTATAGATTCAAAGATATTTAAGTATCAAAATTTGACAGAGTGTCAACGCCAGATTACGTCTTCTTCACATGAAAAAAATCTTAATGTATGAAGAAGATCACGAATAAATATAAATTAAAACCAAATAGCGCGCGCAATGCTATTTCCAATAAAGTATTTAATACCAATTTATATTATTATTAAAGTAAATAATTCGATAATTTTTGCCCATAATAAATGAAGATTTGCAATTTAGTAATATACATTTGTATACACCAACTATTGAGGTAAAATCTCTAATCTTAGTAATTAGAATTTAAGTAACAACGATTTTTGTTTCGAAACATTTTCTCGATTGAACAGAATTAATCGTTAATTTAATCAATACCAATAAGTCCGCGGAATAATACGCAAAACGTAGAACAGTCACGGAACAAAGCAATGTACAATAAAATATTAAGTACGGAATTTTCCATTGCGTAGGCAGGCCAACGAATTCTCAACGTTTTTTTGTTGTTTTTCACTCGGCGCGGTGACGTACGATGTTTTTGCGTGCCATCGTGTACCTGAAGGTCGCCGCATCACTCGCTCGCCGAACGTCGAGCCGGCAGGCAGTGGCGAGAGTCGCTCCGTGCGTGCTATTACTTTTGCGTTATCGGTTTCCAAGACTCGATCGCGACGAATGTAGGGATAAAACGCTATCGATTTGTACACCTTTATCAGTAACGAGTAACGTTCCTCGATTATTAAGTTCCTACAACTTGTAATGAGAAACGAATTGCGTGTTGAGGCGACGGCTCTTTATCAACGTACATAGGTATTTCACGAGACTATCTCATTTAAAATATGAATGTGAACCGTGGTACTTTGTCGCGGTTACATCACGTTTACGCACCGCGCTTTTAATTATCTATCGATTTCGTGTAATCCGTTCTATTTTCGGGAAAAGAGAGAAACTTGTGCGTGAAATTTGTGTGTGATTTCGGCGTTCGCGCTGTAATTCGTTCTGTCGTTTTTCAATATTTTCTGCGTTTCGCGGTATCTCACATCGCGTACGGGAGTGCCGAAATTTCGCGCGATCGATGATTTTCGCGAGTTAGTGTTCTGTGAGTGCAACAAGGAAATCTGAGAGGAGGGGGAGGCCGAGGAGGCATCGGGCAACGCGGAGAAATCGGTGAGGTATCTTACATTTTTATGTTATTTGCTACTTGTGCAAAATAAAGCATCTGTTCTGTGTTATTATTTTATTTATTCAAATGATTTGAACGAGGATTCGAATAAGTGTTAGAGACAACATCATACCTATAAAATTTTGTGAGTTATAATCTGACTCTGCATCTTTGAAAAAGGGCAGTGCACTTCTCGACTTAAAACGGTCTTAAATATAAAGTCGGACTATGAACACCATCCTTTCTCGCGACGTCGATTGCCCTCTCGTAAAAACTGCTCCTTTCTTCGATTATAATTTAACAAGAAGACTGGCTCTTTCTTCAAAATTTCATCGCAGAAACGCACAGCACCCATGGCACGGAAATAAAAGCCAATGTACCGAAAAAGCTTGCGAATTTCTCGAATATCTATTACATGAAAAACTCGCGGAACGGGCGAGGAAGCGAAGTCCTAATGCTAAATTGTAAGATATTACAGGAGGACAGCGAGCTTGTCTCGCGTGATATAGATGAGAAATTTTCTCACTTCTCTCTTTTTTCCCTCGCATTTTCTTTATGTAATTGCCACGCTTTATGTAATCCGGTTTATTAGAAAACTTTCGTGCGACGAATTGTTCGCGCGCGCATTCCCCGGGGAATTCGGTTTAAATGTCATACGAGCACAGTTAATGTATTCGCGTACTTAACGAAAATTACGTCGCATAAATGTTGAAATTGGCATGAATCGAATGCGCGATAAATATTCGTGCATTCTTTAAAAAAAACTAAAAAAAACACATTTTTAACTTTTCGAGAAAAAAATTAGGTGTTTGATCAATATTTAGAAAAACATTTTGCACTCTCTCTTGCGTAATTGTACCGTATATATATATATATATCTCTCTCTATATATACATATTATATATCTACAGAGAACAGTCCCCTATTATGAGATAGGCTCCTAATATGAAATAGCGGAGTTTCTGCTAAATTAATAGCCATCGTCTGTTGCTCCCACCATGAATTTATTGCCCTTGGCGTGAAATCTGTTTAGTAATAAATTGATTTTTAGATCGTGTTGTGAATATTTATATCGTCGCGGTATCGCAATATTTCGCCATATTAAGGTAGATTCAGGAGTGTTAAAAAATTGTACCGATAGGCTAAAATAAAAAAATTTGAAAACTTTCTTATGTAGTATTCAGAATATTCTTCAATGTCGCCAGCAGTAATTAACAACGTCAGTGTTTTCTTGACCATACCTGGCATTTTTAATAATACAGACAATTTATTGCGAAAAATATTAACTCGACCAGGGTTTGAACCTGGACCTCCCTACACTCTAGGCGGACGTCTCACCAATTCGACCACTGAGGCACGTGGTAATATTTGTCGCAATAACGGTATAAAGATGTTGTCTACGTCTATTTTTCGACTTTAAACTTTCTTATGTAATTTGTCTACAATCGTTGCGAAAAAAGATTTCCCTGCCGGAAATAATTCTACAAAAAAATTAAATATATAACTGAATTGAATCTTTCAAAATTTGTAGATCGACTTTCCGCGCGAATTAGGATGCGAAGCTATGGATAAACCGGAGGGACGTTAAACCCCGTGCTTGCTGATCTAACGGGCGCAGGAAGGGCGCCACAAAAATCCGATTGTCGTCCACGGTTTATCGATTATTGGTTTGCGACCCGCGGATTTATTGACCGCCGCCACTACTGCGCTTCCTCGATTTTACTTCTCTTCGCGCCTTTCCACGGTCTTGACTTATCCTTACAGATTGGCGACGACAGTTTCCGTCACAAATCAACAACATAGGTTACATAAGGTACAAATTACGTGAGAAAGTCTTCATTTTGTAATTTTATTTTTGCCTATCAACATAATTTTTTAACACTCCTGACTCTAACTTATATGGCGAAGTATTGCGATATCGCGGCGATATAAATATTCACAAACGCGAACGCATTTGTATTCAAATGTATATCGATAAAACTTTGTCTCCTTCTGTTCTATTTTATACGACTACGGCTTTTCTTCGTCTCCCCCGTCAGCGGGAAGCGAAATGCGATTCTAAATTGCGTCGGACGAGTTATTATTTTTTATAAGCGCACCGCGCATCGTAACGTTCGCTCGCTGAAAGACGGAGACCGACGTTGTCTCTTTCCTTCTCTCCTTTTTCTTCGATTTGACGTTGTTCATCGCCATCGGCATAGCGCTCCCCCGTCCTACGTGTCTCCCCACGTCCTTGTCTATCTCATTTGTAATTCACGGACGCGACGCTCAGTTACGCAACGCGCAACGCAATTTCTCCGAACCGTTTATTCCGCGCGTTGCAGATGGGAGCTCGGGAAAAAGCATCAACGTTTTCATAAAGCTTCTCCGCCCCCTTATGTATATCGCGTCGTTGTTTTGTAATGGAAACTGACTACGAGACGCGTCACGGGATGCTGCGACACAAGCGGCGTGGAAAATCTCGCGGAAACTCGTCGGGAAATCGAATAACAACGTACAACGATTTGCCGAACGAGCTGCATCCTTTGACCGCCGGTTTCGCGACATTAAAGAACACTCTCTTCCCGTCGTTTTCCCGTCTCCCTTCTTCCTCTCTGCCTCGTCCACGTTTCCGATAGCCGGTGACCGTAGTTTTATTACGAGCGCGTGGAAGACTCGCAAGGTGGAAGCTTTCAAATCGAACGCGCGGATCGCGAAGGAAACGAAGGAAACAAATTGCGCAATAATGACGTCGAGTCGCGGTTGCGACTCTTACGAGAGCGGCGGATTTTTTTTCCTTTTCCCCCTCTCCCTCGCTTACTTCGCGTTTTCCTCAAAGTCGCGCCAAGAAAGTTCAGAGTTTGTGCAATCGCTCGGATTTTTTAATCCCTCGCTTCAACAAGCGGGCCATCGCGTTGAATACCTCGTTTTAACTTCGATGTTAATAATGTTGCCCGCGCGGTCTTCGTCCGTGGGATTTAGCGGGGACTTTTTCAATTTCAAAGGGACAGCATTCGCGTCAGCTACGAGTGTCGGCTCGTCGCGCGAAGACCCCTGGGTTCGACTTCGACGGGGCGTCCCGGTTGGACGTCCAGCGAAATCGCGACGAGGAGTCCGGAAGCGTCATATGCAAGCGCCAGCAAATTCTCGTCACGCCGTTCGCCGGGATTAAAGGCCTGTGTCCACGATGCTAGAATGTGGCCCAAGTTCTCTCAGTGAAAACAGTCTAGTCGAAAAGATGCCAATATGACATCAAAATCGTTATTTGCCGTCATTGTGTCAAGGAAATATTTCCACGTGATGAAAAATTGACAAAAAAAAAACACTATCTGCGTTGACGCTGTACGCGATAAAAGATCATATGGAAAGGTGGAAATAGATGTCCAGATGATAATTGCAGTGTTATATATAAGAAAAACTCAAACATGTTACGTTGACGTCAAAATGGCTACATTATGATGAGACGGTATTTGTCTTAGTTATTTTCTGGAAAGGGATCTCCGGGGTTGTTTTGCAGCATGTATTGCAATTTCTATATATTTTAAACTATATGTACTTTAATATTTAGTGTATATTTTAAGCGAACGTTAATTTTGTTGTAGTTTTGCATTTATTCCTGTAGAGAGTAATTGTTTACTTTTGACATCAAACATCAAAGTGACAGTCTAAAACATCATCAAGGCATAGGACGTTTTGCAATCAACTTATCATGATTTTGCCATTATTTTGATACTGAAATCTGTAGCCAATCAACTTGCAGCTTTTATGGAATAATTGATCGGCTACACATTTCTCGAAACTTGGACCAAGTTGTAACATCGTGGACACAGGCCTTTAGAGTCTCGTAGCGGCGATATCCGTTTCCGATCGTTTTTTGGTCTCGCCTCGCCTCGCTCGATTGCAAAGCGACGGAAAGAGGAAAGACGTTTCTGGCAGCTGTCAAACGGACCCCATACCGCGTCCGTTTTGCATGCCCCCGTCATTCCGGTCGGATCGAAAATCCGTCGAACGAGAAAAACCCAGAGGACGGACGGACTTACTTTTTCACTCTTTTGTTTTGTTTTTCGTTGCACGTGTTACGTGAAAACGGAACTTTGACGCGCTCTCGAACGGTCCAGATATTTTTTCCACCGGAAGAACGGTCCTACGACCACTCGCGGGCAGGACAGCCACGAGTTGGCGATTTCGTCAATCCGGAAGCTACCGAACTAATTTCCCGAATGGGAAATAAATCCACAGACGATCTCTCGGGACTTTTGAGTGCTCGCGAATTTAACGTTTCATAAATTTAAAAGTTTCGGAATTCGCGTTGTCAATTCAACATCGGTTTATTTAACTTTCAAGACGCAATTCTAAAGAAGGATTGCTTCTTGAAAATTACAAGTGTCACGTACGGATTCGCCAAGTTCTTTATTAGAAGCGCAAGATGTTGTAACATCTCGAAATCAATATATTTTATTATACGATTAAATATATTTTTTTCTAGAGCGAAATTTTCGCGATTTAAAAAGAAATCCGCAGATCTCTAAAGACTAGAATGGATTTTACACTTACGTTGACGTTGTCCAAAAATCTCTCTTTGTCGATCGCCGGCATCGTCCTCGAATATTCCACCAAGACGAGGAGCATCAATGTTAGAGTAACCGCACTTCGTACGGACGTCATTTCGAATCTGCAAGTAAACGTGAAAAAGGACCGTCGACTGTTAATTATTATGAAGCCAATAATGATAACGTGAATTTGTATTCGGAAGAACTTATTCGCAACAAGATTTTCTCTTTGCTCGTTCGTTCGTTCAATTGGAAAGTCACCAGAAAATAGTATCGACAATCTTGGCAAACTTGATGTCAACAAAACGTTCGGTTGGTTCATTTCGGTGATTTACGTTTTATATGCCTACGTGTCGCGTACATTTTCTCCATGTGAAAAAGCACGTCGGACAATGATCTCGATTGCCGTTTGCTCGTAGTCGAAACTCGGAGGAAAGGTCACGATTTCTAGTGTCTGGTTGTTTTATAGAATCGCGCTAATTGCCGATCTCCAATCAGCGGGTTGCACGCGGGGCTTTTACGTGTAATTAGAGGTCGCGGGACTCTATTGGCCCGCGCGTCTTTTTATGCCAAGTGAGCCTGCGCGGAGCGCAGTTCAACGGCGCTGATTGGCGCTTCGCGGCTGATATTGAGGGTGCGCAGGTCTGGACCGTTAAGCCGGAGACAAAGCGTTTTGTCAAAATTGCCGGTAATTGTTGTTAACATGAGTCTGTCTGTCTCTCTCTCTCTCTCTCTCTCTCTCTCTCTCTCTCTCTCTCTCTCTCTCTCTCTCTCTCTCCCCCTTTCGAAAACAACAACATTAATTGTTGACGTGTGCGGTGACGAAGCAACCCGAGACGCTTCAAGATCGAACTCCAAGAGAAAGAAACTCATGTTAACTGAATTTACAAAGTTTTAGGAATTGAGATCGTCATTAAGAGATGCTCTCCAATCCCTTTATTAGCGACGCAATGCGTCGTCGCGAACAACTACCTTAACATCTTCTTATCGCGCCCCCAAAGTGAGGAATAAATATCTGTGTGAATTCTTCATGAAATGAATTTTAGAAAGAATGGCGGAGAAATCATGAGAGATATGTCTGCAAGAGGAAACGATGGGTCGCGTTTGTTCCCAAATGGTAAAAAACGTTCACCAAGTTGGAACAAGTTTCAAACTGATGCTTCGATCGGTATTTTAATCGAACAGTCTCGAGAGTCAAGCTAAACTCGTAGCGGAAATTGAAATAAGTATACAGATACAGAAAGATCCTGCGTGCTTCGAAGGAGATAGTATTAATCTTTGACGAGTTACATGGCTTTTCTTAGAGCTCGAACTTTGCTTTCTTAATGTTTGTTCGAAAAGTGGATAAATCATTAAAATTATTAATATACAATTTTGTTCTATTTTTTTTTATGTTTTCTGTTTTTCCAAATGACTGAAACAGTTAACGTCACGTCAGTCACTCGAGAAAAGTTGAAAAGGGCGCTGCGATTGATTTTACATCGACATGTGACGTTTACGAATTCGGTTATCATTACATCATTACATCTAATTAAATAATCGAAAGCTGTAAAAGGTAATTAAGAAGAAATAATGTGTTAATAATTAATTATTGTATTTAATGAAATAAATGGTGCGTCAGTGTTGTAAGTAAACAAACTTTGTCTACAAATTTAATGTAGGACACGAGAGTAATCTTAGAGTAAAATGTCGAAGTTCCTTCCGTCCGACGGCGGAGCGTAATGAAAGATCGGCGAAAGGGGTACGGAAATGGAGTATAAATACATCGAGTGGTATGGCGGAGGGGGAGGAGTGCAAACTAAATGAAAAACGAAGCCCACGCGAAACTCGTCGTCTCTCGTCTGTTACACAATCCGCTAATTGGAATGACAAATGATGCACATTATTGGCCACACTGTACGCATCAGATAATTGTTGCGGCCGTCGCCGCGGAGAGGGATATTCGAATCACAAAGCTCCGCAGCGACAACGCGGTTTGCGCGAATTTAATTCATTAATTAGAAAAGGTCATCGCGATAATTCGAACGCGTGATGTAACGCCGGTGGATGCGTTTATCGGACACCGTCTAATCCCGCCGATGCCGAAATCACGATTGACAAAACACGATACGAACACCCGAGGATCCGAGAAGAGGAAGGGGAAAATGGAATTTAAAGTTAGGGGCGTTGAAAGTTAACTTTCAAAGCGACGATGAACCGGAATGCGGCAGGGTTCGATCACAAAAGGATTCTTAAAATTCTCCATTCGAAACTTTTATCTGGCGAGATTATGAAATAAAAATAATTTCATTCTCACTAATAAATTATTTCAGCAAATATTAAGGAATTATAAAATTGTTGAGGTAATGGAATTTTTAAGTTTTAATCGAATAGATTTATTCGAGTCATCGGTGATTTTATTATTTTCTACCCTTATCTTTTGACTTTTTTTTTAAAATAATCGAATCGATTTTATTTAAGAAACAGAACAGAATTTCTTGATGGATAAACAGCAAACGTGACAATTTTTAATAATACAGAAAATTTATTATTAAAAATGCCAGATATGGTCAAGAAAATACTATAAAGTTGTTAATTACTACTGGCGACTTGAAGAGTACTCTTATTATAGTATCAATTTAGTTTATTATATATATACAGATTCATTATGAAGAGATACTATAAAGAAAGTCAAATTTAGTTTCAGTCTTCTTTTATACTTTCCTCTATTTAGATTGAGAAAAGTCCTCTATTATGACATAGGCTTCTGATATGAGATAGCAGGTTTTCATCAAAATGTAATCACAAATCTTTATTCACAACGATTACACGATCTAACAATGAATTTTCCACTAAACAGATTTCGCTCCAAGGGCAATAAATTCACAATGAAACCAACAGATGATGTCTATTAATTTAACAAAAAACCCCTACTATCTTATATTAGGAGCTCCTCTCATAATAGGGGACTTTCCTCTATTATTATAAATTATTACTACATCGACGATTGGCAATAAAAAAAAAACCCCTTTCCAATTCCGTTTTCCCGCAGGTGTTATGTGTCACAGAAGCGACGTCCGATTATACGTGGACCTTTTCTACTGCCACGAGTACAAACGTGCGTTCCAATTTATAAATCCATTTATTACTATTTTATTACTTGTCACGGTTTATTTCACGGTTGCATTATGTCATCTATTTAGCGTTTCAAGATGAATTTCCTCAAAGGCAAAACAATACAAATCAATAACGATTTTAATGATTTTACAGAAGGATGTGATTTACAAGCAAGGGCGAGAAAAGATTCGCTGTACTCGTTTTATTATTTACACCTCATGTGTACCTGTTTTTTCGCGAAGAGGGAAATCTCGTGTATAAGAAGCGCCGGTGTAACCGCATTACTGCGGAAAGTAAGCGAAAGAATATCCAATTTGTCTCCCGTCTGTCCGCCTGACGCGGCGAGCGGTCAAATTATATCGTGACTTGTAAACGAAGTCGGGAAAGTCGTGCGGGAATTCGGGAAATTTACATCTCGGATGTGCCCTCGTCGCACCATCCGAAGAGTGAGAAACTGTAATTAGCTCTTGTAAGGTCCTGTTTCCATTTAATTTTAACTTGGCATCCTTTTAATTTGCCGCAGGTACGACGTTACGAAAATTCTTTCCTACTAAGGTTTCGCATGCACAAAAATGTGGGCGCCATGCAGTTAAAAAATATGCGGTTTACACTCATTTATTACTATTTATTTATTTAGATTTCAATTCATATAATTTAATCCAAGATATTGTAACGGCTCTCCATAAAATAAAATTAGGAAGGAAGAAAGGGCCAATGCGAGCCAACAGCAGGTGTATGTGCGATATTGTCAAATATTTAAACCAATTTATTCAGAATTCCAAACGTTTCGACCCGTTTTTGGGTCATCCTCACAATCAGTGAAGCTGGGTTAACAGAAATGTTACATGGTGTTAAAACGTTAAATAATTGTTGATATAAATTTGGCGAGTTTATACATTGGATTTGTATACCTGATTAAATAAATAACTTAAAATACCACTGTCTCCGAGACATATCCTCTGACAAATTCAATGCGTTTTTTTTTCCTTTGAACTGGTGATTGCCAAGTAAAGAGAATGATTGTTTGTTTAAATATTTCTAGAAATATAAAATGTAATTCGTTGAAACTATTCGTTTGGTAATAAAATTTTATAACTCACCGAAGTTGCGAGAGGACAGTCACGACGAGTGGCAAATAACAATTGACGTTTCTCAAGTTTATTTTCGTATCACTATTGTCAATGTAAATTTAAACAAACAGTCATTCTCTTTACTTGGCAATCACCAGTTCAAAGGAAAAAAAAACGCATTGAATTTGTCAGAGGATATGTCTCGGAGACAGTGGTATTTTAAGTTATTTATTTAATTAGGTATACAAATTCAATGTATAAACTCGCCAAATTTATATCAACAATTATTTAACGTTTTAACATTCTGTTAACCCAGCTTCACTGAGGATGACCCAAAAACGGATCGAAACGTTTGGAATTCTGAATAAATTGGTTTAAATATTTGACAATATCGCACATACACCTGCTGTTGGCTCGCATTGGCCCTTTCTTCCTTCCTAATCATATAATTTAATTACCTAATTTATAAATAATAACACGCGCTCAGATTTATTTTACTGCTGGTCCCAATTTGTACATAATTTATTTCTGCATAATTGCTTTTCCTCGCGGCAAAAGTATAGAATTTATTTAATGTATAATACATTTGTGTAATTGCGTTTCTTCGCGCTAGGAACCGCATGATACAGAAAATGTCACGTCAAAAAGTTGCATGGAAATTCGCGATCTCTATTCATACAGAGTATCTTGTCTCTCGCTTGTCGCTCTCTCTCTCTCTCTCTCTCTCTCCCCCCCCCCCTCTCTATCTTTCGTCGTATTCTCAAAGGATGAATGAATAAATAATCGTGAAGATCTTTTTGATCTCAATTTTTGAAAATAACGAATGAATAAGTAATCGTGGAGAGGAAACTTTTGATACTTATCTCAATTCTCAGAATTTTATGTTTTGCTGTAAAAGCGACATTCGATCATAAAAGTTCTTTTCTACTGCATGCGAATCTTCATTTTGATTTTTAAATCTATTTACTGTCCGTATATGTTCCCTTTTTTCTTCACTAGTTTACATCTACGTAATTATTCCCTTTTCCGCAGAAAATTTGTAACCGTACAGTCTAATTTATGTCTGAAGAATTACTTCCTTTCACAATAAAAACGTAGTTGCAGAAAATGTCGGGCCAGAAAATTAGTTTAGAAATTTGGAAAATTTTAATTTTTGCAGACTGTCTCATATACGGCGTTTCTCTCGTATTCCCGTTAAACAAGTAAATAAGCTGGAAAGAAATTCTTTTCGATCGCGATTTTAATTTAGCTTGCCCGAGTTTCACGTTTTGTCGTACGTCCAGGAAAACGACGTCTGATCATACGAGTCTTTTTCTACTGGCTGCACGCGCGCGCGTCCGCATCAAGACCTCTAACTTTACTTTCCCTTCACACTTTCTGTCATTCTCTCTCGTCCAATTTACATCAACATAATTCAAGGTTTGTCCGTAGAATCGGTGCAATAATTTTTCCCTGCGAAGAGAAGACCTCGGCGCGCGAGGCAACAAGTCGGGTTGGAAAGCTGCGCGGGAATTTGGAAACGCGAGTTTATACCTCGTGTAAACTGGTGTATCGCCTGGTTTCGTGCCCTCGTCCCAAGAATGATACTCGTGAGTAAAGGCCTCTCTCTCTCTCTCTCTTTCTCTTCTTGTCTTTATCTCTCTTGATAGCGTCACCTCGATGTCTCCACGACAGAGTGACCGCGCTTGGAGCACGCGACCACTTTATACCCCGTGCTGTGCTGTCGGCGAACGGTGGTGGCGGTGGTAGCGGAAAGCCACCCCTTCCCACACAGAACCCACGCTCCCTCTCCCCCTCCCCCGCTCACGGTACTTCGATAGCACCGTCTCTACGTCTCTGCCAAATGCAACGAGTTACACTAAAGCTCTTTTCCATGGAATTAGGAAAAAAAATTTTTCGAATGATCCACAGGCATCCTTTCGTAACGGCAACAATTTTCCGGGCGGTCCCAATAGCCGCGTTCGCCTTCGGTATCTTAATGGCAAAGCGGAAACTCGAGGACAAATTAGGTCGTTGCTGGATACGCGAATGAAACTACGGGAGAAAATAATAGAGGAGAGATCGGTGCTCGAGGAGAACGTAAGCGAGCTAATTACGAATACTGGTAGAAATCTGATTTTTTCACTCTCCCCCGCTTTCTGTCCGGCCTCTTCACTTTTTAGAAACGTACCGCTGATCCCATGGTACTCCGAGCATGTGTTAATCGTTGTTATACTCTCTTGGGAATGATCACCACGAGTTGTAATACCATTTTACTTTTGCTGTTTCTCTCTCTCTCTCTCATTCTCCCTTTTTTCGTTTAAAAAACTCGATTACTCGTATGACACGTATTTCGACGTACGTACAAGGTATCCCGCGAGCTTTGGATGTTCTTTTGATCGCAGCTTTTTGATTTTATGCTCCGACGAGCTCTCCTCAGCGAGTGAGATTGTCGAGAAAAAAGGGGCATAATACCACTTTTTAATATTGCCATTTCACAACTGTTCGCTTGAAACGTTTCTTTCGCTGGAAATTTCGCGGTCACCTCTTCTTCACAGTGCGCAAAATTAATGGATACTACATTTCATTCCTTTACCTAGCCTTCCTATGCAAAATTCTATTAATTCTCTCTCTTGTAATTAACATTATATATAATAATATATATGTAACGTTAAGCACCAATTGTCATTAAATTTTAACTTTGGGAGGACAAGAGAGTCCGCAAATATTCATTGCCGATCGCAATCCCAATGGGTCGCACTCGAAAATTTATCCCTTTGTTTATTTACTGCTGGCATTGCGGCACGTATTGTATACTACGTAATTAATTTCGAAAAACCATTACGTATTAAAGATGAAAATTATCGTGATATCAAAAACTAAAGCGCGATTGTTTTCTGTTTTGAAGGGTCTCGAATTTCAATATTGGAATATGATATTGGATTATTAATATTAAAATTGTCATACATCGTGTACACGCACCGGCATAAGTCCCTATCCTTGTGAGGTGCATGCACACAACTAGAGTCCCTGTAATTGTGTGCGTGCACCTCACAAGGATAGGGACAGCATTTATGCCGGTGCGTGTACATGAGACAGTCAAGGGGATCGTTTTGGATGCATGCGTGAGAATGATGGAAAATAAATGCCTGAGATCCCGCACATTTCCCTGCGTTAATGTTAACGCCTCGGTTGTTCTAAGTATCGGTTAATTTTCGTACAGTGCGTTCTTCACGTGACTTCATTTATAAAAACCGTTCGAGGAACGATAAACGATCCTCCGATTGTTTAAATCGGCGCGCAGACTCGAAAACTTGAATGCACGGCGTACTTTTCTTCGCAGCTTTGCGGATGAGAGGCGGCGAGTGCGAATTAGAATAAGTTGCGGAGAGGAGCCAAACCTACGCGACGGTCCGGTGCGCTCTTGTGAGAGCCCATTTCCGGAGAACTCTTTGAGCCGCTAAGGCGGCGGAACTGCGGCGTTTATCGTTTTACGCGGTCGCTTCTCGTCGTTGCGCATGCCGGAAGGAAACTCTCCGTCTATCTTTCTCTTCCACGCACAGACTTCCATGTACTACTGGACTGCTACCTTCGAGCTGAAAAGTGAGGCAAGAGTTCCGCCACGTCTTGTTAGGTAAATTAAGTGGTACTTTACATACTTACCTACTACATTCAAGTTCTCGTGTCTGCGTGACGCATTCCTTCTGTGGAAGCACAGACTTCTATATCAACTGTGATTTCTTTCGCAAAGTCGTATCTCGAGTTTACGCAATTTTCGGTTTTCGTGCTTAGACGCTCATTCTAGTCCAGACGTTATAGAAACAATGTATCATAAGTCATGTAGAGAGTGAAGTAAATTTTTATAATACGAGATAGCACATTGTGGCTTAGCGCGCTTTAATGAAAGAAACAACTGATCTGACTTTAATCATCGTTATCTCAAGAACTATTATAAGATAGAGAAGTATACTGTATTACAAAACATTAATATATGTGAGAAACCATCCCAAAGTCCATCCTCCTAAATAAATTCTAAAACTTGCAAATAATAAGATCTAGAACCAAAATACATTTAAATATGGATATTAATATGTTAATATTGGATATAAAGTCAAATATAATATTTACAATTTGTGAAAAGTGTTTGCTGTAATTCCTTTTGAATCTTGTCAACCTTGGTAATGAGAAAAACAATAACAATGAGGAGAGAAATAGAGAAGATAGAGTTTATATTTGCTTGTATCGACTTTGATTTCTGCAATAAAACACAACGCCGTGAAAGAATTGTTTCCTCGCTATCAAAGGTGTCGACGTAAAGTTGCATTATTGTGTGTGTGTGTGGCTATCATTTTTACGAATATTATCGGAAAAATGAAATATTTCAAGATATTTATATACCAAGATATTAGAAAGCAATCTGGCGAATATCGGCGTACGGTACACATTTAATTTATAATATATTCCCCTTCTTTTCTTTTATGTGTTTCTAATAAAGAGACACATTGCTGTTGGTTGATTGCGATTAACAAATCAATCGTAGGCGTTCGTTAATCAAAATAAAAAGTAATATAGAATACAATTGATTGTTGAAAACTTGATTGTATTGATATAATGGAGCTGATATCCCAGAAAGCAAACTTGCAAAGAAAATCTAGCAAGTACCTCTGGGATAAGGATGGAGTTCTCAGGCATTGGCCAATCTTCAAGGTAATATTGCAACCGGAAATTGAGGGTCAGATTCACATGGTCATAGTGTTTGGTGACGGTACGCGATATATTGTATAACTGTAGTGTGTTATTTGCTTTTCTTTCCCTTTGTCGTTTTTATTTGTGTTCTTATTTGTTGGAACCACAGATATGAAATCAGCTTTTATAGTGACAATTATAAGTGATGAGAGAAATACAGTGTACGCCATAGGCGACAATTCCTTCGGTCAGCTGGGAGTGTCATCTACAGAATGTCACACTGCGATCGAGCCTAGAGAGATTAAAATATTACGTGGGCTAAACATAAAGACTATTTATACCATGCACTATTCTATCTTTGCGATTACTGAAGAGGGATTGGTACGCTTGCACATTATTATTAAATTTACGTCACAGTTAGAATATTTCAATTTAAATATTATCAGAAAGTCCAGTCTAAGATTCATAATTAAATGCAAATTATCCTTTCATTGTCTGTAAATTAATTTAATAAATAAATTAAATAAGAAGATCACAATTTTTTGATAAACACGACACGTGGAAGGAGAAAGAGTTTAGTTTTAAAACAAAGATGTCTTTCCGAAGACATATATAGAGCCTAGCGTCCCTCGCCACCAAAAGAACATAGACTGCAACGCTAGTGGCCATTACAAGAACTACAAAATTTCCTCACTAATTGTAAGCGACCTACCCCCACCATCGAAAATTAGAGGCAGTGTCGGGAGACCCCTGTATACAAGACCGTGGTACGGCCTT